ACCGCAAAATATCGGCCGACTGATTCTACTTCATATTAATCACGGTATACCGGTCGCCGTTATAATTCATGTCGGTACCGGTAAACTGGCCGGTATATCGGTCGGCGCTATACTTCATACCGGTACCAGACCGGCGCCGGTACCGGTACCGGTTGCACCTCTGAGACAAGACTATTTTCAAAAAAACCTGATCGCGTTCCTATTAAAAGTTTCACGGAACCGGGACCGTCCCGCAGACCTCTAAGTCCCGGTCCTAATCCCGGTCCGTAAAAAAGATTTTTCTGGGTCCAGGTCCCGTAAAAAGTCCCGCGGGACCGGGATGGGACTGGGACTGTCCCGCAGACCTCTACCACCAATGGCCTTAAACCTTTACTCAATATAATAAAAAAATGCAAAGAGAATGCAACAGAAAGGTTACATTAGTAAATGATAAGCTAAACAAATAAAATAAAGTTTAAGCGAACAACTAACACGGTTCTATAAGACTAGCAACATGAGAAGAGATCCAACAGAGAGAATTTTTTTTGAAAGACTTCCACGAAGAAAAACGAGCTACTGGTTTCAGATGTTTATCCCAGTCAGTCACAGTTGAGGAGAAAAACGAAGAAGTTTGTGAAGAAAAACCATTGACGGGTGATGGCGTGTGAACATATTCAAAATAATGACAGCCTAAAGAGGCATAGTGAAGACGGTGAACGGACAAAAGCTAGAAAGAGGACTGAGGTGATGATAGATTTTAAAATACTGCAGAAAGATGAAATATTTACGATGAAGGAAAGAGTTGGCAGAGATAGTTCTAACGTAAGTAAGGTACTAGAAGAACAATAGTCAAAATTACGAGAAATAACAGCAGAAATAAGATTATTTATAAAATTAAGGATAGAGAGAGAAAAAGAGCTATCATTCTATATATAGAATCGGTGGTCATGTAGAGACCTTAAGAGACAAGCTCCGATCGAAATTTCTTTTCTAACAAAAGAGACTTAATACAAGCTACAGATAGAGTGAGATATTCTTTTCCAACGACAATCCTTGTAATCATCCTATTTTTTAATTCGACATTACCATTAAAGAATTTTTTCTTCTCCGTTGTGAAGAGTAACCTCACAATATTGAATACAGGCTTTGTTGGTGTCGCTTCTGATCGATCCAGGATGCTCACTCGGCGCCACATGTAATTTGATTCGCTTTTGTCTTTGACAAATAAAAATTCGGTTACGAATATTGAGTGTCAAAATTCGGTCGCGATACGCTACTGAAGAAATTTCTACTAAGGAACGCTAACTCCTACACATTTCACGAAGAAGCCAGCGCTCTTCAGTAGCGTATCTCGACTTCAAAATTCGTTGTCTTACATTACAAGGTAACGCTTGCCTGCAACCGTCCATGATTCTTGAATCCAAGACAACAAGTTTCATGGGTATCCTCTGAAGATCTTAAAGGAACCTGAAGTATTTCTGATCGATTCGCTATGATACATTATCAATATTCTGTAAGCTTTATTATCCGTAGACGACTATTTTTGTGTTATTATCAAAGTTGACTGATTTCTGGTATCCTGGCTACAGAAAAAGTTTGCTGAGCTGTTTTTCTCCCTGCATTAGAAGATATTTCAGGTCATCGCTTTGAATATATTCTCTCTTGTGGTCACAGAAAATTTTCTATTTTCCATATTTTGCGCACAGATAGACAACCATTTTGTAAGGCCATCGACTATAACAGCGGCTAAAACAAGACAATGACCAAAAATTATATTTACACATGGTTGAGATCAATTAAATATTTGAAATCATAGTTTCAAAACTCTGAAAAGAGAATGTTTTCTACAATAATTATGACACAAACTCTTTTCAGTAAAGAATTCTAGAAATTTTTTTGATTTATTCATTTTTAATTATTCAATTAATTCAGACTATGATTTTTTTTTAAGGTTATAACTGCGTTTTAGAGAAAAGTTATGAATAATGATTGGCTGAATGCCGTAAAACAAGAAGCAGAGAAGACGAACAAATTTTTATTAAAAGAATTTTGTCAACAATTATTAGGTATGTTTCATGAAATCTTAAAAAACATTTTTTTTGCAATAATATTTTATTTGTTTTAGATTATTTAAGTCAAGGAAAAAACAATATACATTTTGGACGGTATGATCTTTAAGAATTTTTTATACGAGACATTGCACATAAAACACTCAAATTTGATTCTAGAGAAAAATGTATTGAATTTATCGGCTGTTGTTTGGAAAAAGAGGCGCCGCAAATTTGTTTACATGCTATTCATGGCTTTGAGGTACATGTGTGCTGGTGACTTATTTTATTGTTATAGTGAAAGAAGAAAGTTTTATTTTTTTAGTTTCTTGTTAGCGAAGAAGAAAATTGTACAAAATGTTCTATACAAGATAAACACGATTTTATTCTTTATATAATCGATAGTTTTCAGAATGCATCACCGCTTATTGAAAGAGAGTGCGTCAATGGAATCCGTGTATGTTTCTTTTTAAGTCTATATTTTGCCGTTATCTAATGATAGATCTCTATTTTTCTTTAGATCATTTTAAATTTTATTCGATCGTACAATGATATTTTAACAGTTCCAATTCTTTGTAAATTAACTGATGTAAATAAGCCGTTAAAAGATTTAATTTTTGAGAATTAACACTTTCCACTCTGTTTTAGTTCACTCTAGGCACTTTACGGACGAGTAATATTGATCTAAGAGATGAAACGTGTCAATTATGCAAATTGAAATTAGAACATTTTTACAACTATTATCAAGAATTAGTAGTATGATTTATTTAGAATTTTTTCTTTCTTGATCAGAGATTCATCCTTCATTTTATTTTAGAGAGAAAGCGATAAATATAATCTAGCCGGTAAACATTTATTTTACACGACAGAGAAGAGATTGTTCTTATTACTTTTTGTCTTTAGATGATAATACGTTACTGGATCCAAATGAAATTGAATATTTTTCGTCATTGCTAATTCTCGTGGAGTATCATACATCATTGATTGATAATTTATCAGAGTAATGTGAACTGATTGTTCAGATTACACGTCTCATACACGCTTTTTTCTTATTCCTTTAGAAGTCCGGATCGAATGCTGCAACGAATATTTGTTTTAGAATTGCATGATTTAATGACTAGTTTATTGCCGAGAAATATTCGTTTTTATCAACCATTCATTGATTTTGTATGGTAAATTTACAAAAATAAACAAAACTTTTAGCAAAATCTTCTTTTTTCCAATGTTATGCCGAACTAATTCGACGCTCTTTTTAATTTTCAGGAAAAAATACTCACCCGGTGTGCTATCATTTCTTGGATCACCGATTATTGATGTGCGTTGTGTTACGTACGTTAGAAACACTGATCCTCAAATTTGTCGAATCGTCTTTCGGTATGTAATCTCATGAATAATTTTTACAACAATAACTCTGACTAGTCTTGAGAAGTCGCTGTCATATAGCTCAGATGTAGGTGAAAAATAACCATCTCTTCCATACGACAAAAACTGTTTTTCATACTCTTTTTTGTCTCTCATATCAGTCAAAAGTCGATTATCTCAAATCTAGACATGCTACTACGATTCTGTGACTTTTTTGTTCGATTGTGACTGTTTTTGCTTTCTTTGTTTTCAGAATAATACTGAAATTAGTCTTTTTCATTTCTCCACTATATGCTTTACGTTCTGTATCCGAGACACACATTCATCGTCTTACTTTATGTCAAACAGTAAATGAACGGATGGATTTACTTATCGTTCTCAAGGAGGTATGGAAAGTTGCTCGAATCGTTTTTCACTATAAACATGTCTTTTTTAAATTCTATTTTTATTTAGCTTTTAAATGCATCGACATTGATTTCTTTAATTTTTCCACCGTGGATTATTAATCAATCGACTATACAAGAACAAGTAATAGATGATTCGGACCTGAGTCTATTTCGAAAGTAGGTTGCTGTTCACTTTAACTGATACGCTATTTACCCTCAACAACGTATTTTTCTTTAGAATATTATCAATAATAATTGACTGTACATCATCAGACGATCGTTTACTTGTTAATAAAGCATATCAATGTCTCAATCATTGTCTAGAACAACTATTTAATTTCATTAGCCAACCAAAGTTTCATCAAGATGAACAACGACATATTTATAGAACATATTTGAAATATGGTTGTTATGTAATAGGTCCACCAGTCAATACCGATGATTTTATTGCACACATGAAAAATGAGCAAGAAAATGACAACAACAGCAATGATGATGAGAAAAATCTGAGTTTGTCGAGTAGTAGTACAACAACAGAAAGAGTAATGTTTTATCTACATCATTTAAAGTTGTTACTAAAAACAATTAAAGTAATGAATGTGGCTGATTTTGATGACGCACTATTACAATTTTCATCATTTATTAGTTCCGGTAAGATATATATTCTATAAGATTCTTCTATATTTTTTATCAATTTTTTTCCATTCCAGAGTATACTTCGAAAACGTCCAATTCATCTGCATCGGATATAATTGTCGCAAATGCTGACGGTATTTATGCAGCAACAATCTGGGTACTCTGGTATGGTTTACATCGACATATACAACAATTGTTTGGACCAATTAATGGTAACCACATCACATATTCAAAAGTATGTTTACTTTTCATCCTTTATTATGATTATAATCTTGTTTCTATCATTTTATAGACTTCGTTCATGTCAGATATTATGAATTGCGGAATGATGATATATATTGATCCAGAATGGATGAATAATCTCTATGAACAGTGCCATGATAATTTTGATTTTATGCAATATGTACCCGAACAATCAAAAGTTATTTTATACCAAATGTTTTCTGGTAAGAGTAGCACGATATATGGGAAAAATTAGTTGAAAAAATAGTTTTCTTGAAGAGATCAGGCAATTTAATATTCCAGCCGTTAATTCAATTCAAATATGTGGTTTGACTGAAATTCGTCAGGCAAAGTGTATAGGTAAGATATAGGCAATTTTTGTGTCGTTTTTCTATATTAGAACGTCGTTCAGAAAATAAAACATCTATCTATTTTTCAATCGTTGTGCTTTTTTCGTCCCATGCCATTAGTCTGTCACATAATCAGGTTCGATTCCTAATAGGATAGAGCGATGAAACAGTTAACCAACGCTCAGTTTGTATTGATAAGAAGCTCATTTCATATTGTCTTTGTTTTGTTTTAAAGCTTTATCGATATGTTATCGTTTGTTACAAATTTGCTGGAATTCTCTGTTCGGTGAGGATTGTAGTTGCGTAATATATGCGTTGAATGATCCATCATTTAACCTATTCAGGTGTCTACGCCGTTATGTTGAATATAAGCCATGCATTAGATTTTTTTCAAAGTGAATTTCAATCATCCATAACAAATGATAACATGATCAATGCGAGACTCATCGAAACACATCAACTCGTATTCAGTGGTTTAAAGGTTCTATTCAAGCTCGCTGTTGTCACTGGTGAGTTTGTTCTTCACTTATTTGGATATCACTAATATTCAATTTTCTAAAGGTCATTCAAATAGTGCCTGTTCAGTATTACAGCGAGTTCTACAAATTATCGAACACAATTTTGATATTAAAATTAATTATACAAATGATTTGTTAATTTTAAAACGACAACCACAATATCATTCTAATAAAATTACCGGCAAACATAAACAATATCATTTACATTATGGTGATGTGATGGCAATTAGTTTTATTCTAGAATTAATTATAAAGGATATACAAATATGTCCAAGTGTTATGTATAAATTTATCCTAAGGTATGTAATCGATAATACCTTTCAAAAAAAAAATGTTTTGGGTTTTTCATACTCTTATATTTAGATGTTGTATTTACCTATTGATGTTGGAGCAAATATGTTGTTCGGTAACAAAGGATAAAACTACTTTAACAGATGCTGAAAGACTAGAAACTAACGAAAAGTAAGATCAATTTTAACAATATTTAACTGTAACTGAAATGGAAAAAAAAAAACATAAAAAAATGTATTATTTTAGTACTTTTCCCTCAGCTACAAATACTTCATCATTATTACAATTAGCAGCTATCGATAAAACTGGTCATATTAATGAAAAATTTTGTGCACCTATATTGCAAGCGTTATCTCGTCGAGTTGATAAGTATGTAGGCCGTTTTATCTCATAAATTTATGGAACAATTGTTACTTTTAATTAGACTCTACAACGTAGCCACTCGATTACTTGATCTTGATTCATTATTGGAATTTTTGGAACAATTACGCGTTTTAGGTGTTACACAATTAACAAAAGAAGATAATTCTTTTCATCACTCGTCAACAGATTTTTTTCCCATAAATGTTATCATTGATAAACTTGGAGAAATGTCACTAGGTAAACATTTTCATATATTTTTGAATTGATGTTATATTTTTGAAAATGTTTTTTATTTTATTTATATGGCAGATATTATTACATCATTACGTCCCCGATACCATGTATGCAAAGTATGGAGTTTTATATCACAATTGTTTATACAGGTAAAACTAACCGATCGAAATTTTAATTGTTGAATTTTAATTTTTCAATGAATGATTTTAGATTGCCACACATAAAGATATTGGGATTGCTAAACGTTCTATCAATCATATGCATACACACTTACGTTCATATTTAAGTGTAAGACCAGAATATAAAAATTTTCATATGAATGAAGAATTCTTTAAACCATTTGAACATCTTATTTGTACCGAACAATGTGATAGTATTGTGGAAAATCAAGTATAATTAAAAAAAGAAATGTTATCAAGAATAATTATCTAATAGAGTATATTGTTAATTTTTCTAGATTTTTAATTCAATATGTGAATTAGTTGAATTTAACACAAATAATATCAAATCTGGTTGGCGATCGATATTTGCTTGTTTAAAAACGGTTCGAATTGAACAAAAACAACAAAATGTTCATGCAACTGATGAAAATAAATTTGAATTACGTCGAATGAATGCATCGGTAGAAATATTAGCAGCATTCATCAATTGTGATAATTTAAATGTAATATCATCAGCTGCAATCGATTGTTTATCATGTCTATTTCGTTATTTAAGAGAACCAGGTAATCTTTTTTTTTTTAGTTTTGGTTTTTTATTCTTATTCATCTTTATAAGTTTTTGTAGATCCGTGGACATCCGAAAAAAATGGTTCGTTTGATGAACTGAGTGAACAAGATAGTCACAGCACTGACATACGAAATAAAATCGAGATGATTATACCAGCATTAAACATGTTAACTAAATTTATGCACATCTTCATAGACTGTTATTCATCGCCATCATCACAATATATATTTTCAACCAAAAAACGGTAATATTTCATTGTTTTACATTATCTCATAAATAAAGTAATTCGTTTTCTCTAGTCTCAGTGTACGTTTGAGAGAGAATACTCAAGTTTATGATGAACACTTGTTTTTAATGGTTAGCTAGAACAATACGGACTATCTATTGGATACTAGTTATCTATTTATTTTTGTTATTTTTTTAGATCACGTTATTTTGAATCTATTTCATTTACCTACTGTACTTTTATCAATTATTCATCCGATTTTTTGACTCATATAGCGTTATTAAATGAAGATTTCTTTTTAAATGAATTTAATAAAATTGATCTACAAGAGCAAATAATGGATTTTCTACAAATGTTTGAGAAAAACTTAGAAAAAGATATCAAATATTTATCTGAAGATTTCGATTCGATTGATAAAACTCATTTATTAAGTGTTTGGTCGTATATGATTGAAGGTTTAACAGATACTATATTTTCTTGTCCAAATCGTTATATAATTAAAATAATTGATCATTATTTTGAAATACTTACAAAAACATCAGAAAATGTTAATTATCAATTTTCTATTTATTTAGTCGTTTGTGTTATCATTCCATTAGTCCAATCATTTGTCTGTTCAACTTTTTTAAAAAAACCATCGTTACGAAAATCATCATTATTTCGTGGTTCATTAACATTATTCAATAATATTCGTATGACTTCAACAGCATGGCGTCTATTTATGGGTAATCTATTAGAACATGTTATACAAATATTTGATAGATCATCTGTTATTGATAAATATCATTATATTCTATTTGACACATTTTTATCAATGTTAAATGATTGGCTTGTTGTATCAAATGAATATCTTGGACGTTTAGGTAAGTGTAAGAAAATGAGGAAAATTTAATTTAATTTTTGATAAAAATGTATTTTTAATCTTTATCTATTTAGCTATATCATGCATAAAACATTTATTAACTAATCTATCAATGAAATTTGACGAAAATTTGTCATTAATATGTTGCAAAAATATTCGTCATGCAATATTATTAACATCAATGCCTACCGAGTATATCATACATGAGTTCAATGTATTGTCTGCAGATGATTTATTATTAAATGTTCAATTGTATACAAAAGATGGATCATTGTTAACATCACATGATAATGATAATATGATATTTTTACTTTGTAAACAGTTATTTAATGAACAATCAACATTACAATCGATTAATGATAATAATGATAGAAAATTATTTCGTTTTATATTTCGATTATCTGATAATAAAACATTAACAAATGAAATTGATATGCAAACATTTGTATTTTCAAATTATTTTCATACACAATTAATTCATATAATTGGAGAGATATTATTAAATAATAATAAATTTACAGAGAGTCCTATTCTATATTATCTTTTATCTTGTTTAACCTATACAATTGATCTATGTGAACGATATGAAACAAATAATATTGGTTTAAAATGTTTATTACAACAACTATTTTCATATGAAATACCAATAACATTTTATCATTTAAAACGTATTGCATTTCAGTATTTAATTGACATATTATTGAAAAATATTGACATTATGTCCGTTGAATTATGGAAACAGCAACAACCACTCAAATCAAATGAGGTAGACTTTCTATTATTGATGTAATGTAAATATAAAAATTTAATTGTGCAATTAAGTTTAGATGAATCATTGTACAGAAAATGCAATTCCTTTACCCGATGATGATTCTGCTTCGTCTATTTGTTCTACATCATCTCTTCAATCAACTACACCTTCGGTTTTATCAAAAAAGACAAGTAATATAATCGACAAAGGATTTTTTTCCAATTTTTCGTCTTACTTATACAGATGTTCAATGAACAATTCAACAAATCAATTGACTATTCTAAAAATGTTAAGCGATAGTATAGCTGATACAATTTATAAGTATTCAAATGAATATGAAAAAATAATGAATCAACAAAATGAAGATATGCAGGTTTGTAGTTGTTTATACATTCAGATTTTCGAATCGTAATCATTTCGGATATATTATTAGTTTATTCAGCCAATGTGTGTTAAGAGTATTCTCCTCGTTTTTGACAAAACAGTTTGATGTAGACAAAAGTTTGAACTACAAAATAAAACTACTACCGCGTTACGACCTTTTATTCCAAAGGATATGAATTTTTTAAGTTTTTATTCACCAGCCGTTAATTTTCGTAGTTTTGTTATGCTTTTTGTTTCTTGTGCCTTCAAAATGTTTTCTTATACTTATTCTGATAGAGCAAAGTGTTCTCGTCACAATAAGACCACATTCGAAATTTTTTGAGATTGATTGAATATCGCGGCAAATGTTTTACCAATAATGACTGATAGCAGATCAGTCTAGTAAATCAGTGATATATTTTGTATTCAATTTTCAGCATGAAGCCTGAAAAAAATGAGATGGTAAAGTGCTTTGCGAGAGAACATGGCTACGTTTTGTATTCTAATTATAATAACCAGAGTATTTTGTTTTAGCCTTCGCATTCCACAGTGTCTACCACGGTCCCATGTTCACACGAAATCGGTTTTTATTTATTACGAGCTGATCAAGATTTAATTGATAAATTTATTCCTGATCAACAACAACAAAAACAAGCGAACAGTGAACTACAAAATACTTTGAATAATTCATCAATTAATAAAAATACAAATTTATCAAAAAATATGTTCCCATTACAGGATGAAACTCAATATTTTATTGTTACAGAACATATGATGAATCAAGCGATGAACGAATATAAATTACGTAAAACAGAAATATCGGCACCACCTCTGAGAAAAATGTCAACATCCATACAACGAGAAAGTCGAACGCCGTCATTATCGTCACCCTTATCTGTCATATCACATCCATTTCCAATACCGTTCATATCATCTTCATTAGATGAATCTAAAATCAGGTAGTAATATTATTTTAAAAAAAACATCAATTGTGGCTTAATTATCAACTAAGTTTTTTTTTTTCATTTTTTGTTCTCTTTTTAGTCTGAAACCATTCAACATACATAATTTAACATCTAAAACATTGACTTCAAGTATGAAATTATATATTGATGGATGGAATAATTTATGTTTGTATTTGGCAAAATATTTACATACAAAAAATGACTATAGATTTCTTTTACCCATATTTGAACGTTGGTTATTTATATTAGCTACAAATGCATCCAATCGTGAATTAAAAAATATTCTATTAGATATGTTAGTTAATCTTGGTAAAGAAAAATAGGTAAACATAAATGTTTAAATTACAAATTTTAAATTCACATTCCAGATCGTAATCCAAATATGCTTTTATTTTGTATATTGTGATATTAAAGAAAAATTTTAGTACGGATATTATTTAGACAAAATTTATTGTTATTCTAATATATTTTTTTGTTTTATTGTTGTGAATAAGAAACAGTGACTACTGATTGCAAATCTTTTTTTTTTCTATTCTTTGATATAACAGTGAATATTATCAGCATTTATTTTTCCTATTACTTACTATTTATAGGACAGTTGCATCTTATATCTTAGATGAAACTTTTGTTAGTTTATTATTCGCAAGTATAACTCTGATATTTATTTTTAACAGTGAATCTTTTTTCTCCTATTTTTGTGCAATAAACAGCGCATCTATATACAATTTTATTTTATTTTTCTGTTATTTTTTTTTTTGTTGTTGTTGTTGTTGTAAGCAGATAACTCTATTCCGTGACTCCATCACTTTCTCATGCTTTACTTCAACATATTTTATGATTTTTTATTTCATTTTATGTTTTGGATTAGTTTTAAAAAAAGAAATAAAGTAGATAGTTAGCTATATGATACTGAATGTATTAGCAAACATTATACTATATGGTTTAACATCATTGTACACATTCTTGGTGTCACACACTTTAGAGAAAAGTGGTTAATTTACTAGAAAAATGTCAATCTATCATTTTCACAGTACATTTGACAATGTTAAAAAAACTGAAATTAATATTGAAAAATCTAAAAAAACAATTCGCTTTTTTGATCATCACAGGTGTAGAAAAATAACATTTTTTGCTCATCTCTGTTGCAGAGGTGGACAAGTACGAGTCGCATTTTATTATTACTCAAACTTGACTCGGACTCGAGATGCCAGACTCGCAAAATCTGAGAAAAGGACTCAAATCATTTTGTTTGAGAAATCCGGTTTTCGTTGTATGTTTCATTTATAAGCCTTTTTATCATAGAATGATTGAGAAAAAAACAAAAGAGTACCGTGATAGGTAGATGATCTTTATCAATATAAAAATAGACTATTTTAAATAAGACTTTGCATCTTTATTTAAAAGACATCATGTTATACATAACTATGAACTTCACATGTAGAAAAATAAAAAATAAATCTTTATATATTGTGCAGAACGAAGTGCTCTGTTGCGAGAAATGACGAGCTGACGCTTGAACGAAAGATGATGCCGAAGATGTGATGTCATTTTTGATGCTTTACCATTTGGACAAGATAATTTGAAAGAATCATATTGATATGAAACAACTGGGTATATATGGAGAGACTTTTAAAGCTAGTCCACTTTACATAGTCAACTTCACCAGGTAAAAAACTGTGGGTGAGGATGACATATATGCAAATGAGTATTGCTTAGAAAATTAGAAAATATACGTTTATATTTATATTACTTTAGTTAACAACTTTTTCTGATCATATATTCACATGAAATCTGTTGTTAAACGAACATTTTCTATTATTGTAAATAACTCATAATATCGAACACAAAGGTCAATTCGACCAGCCAAGCAGGAATTATTTCCATCGTCTAGAGCAGACAACTTTTCTGTGGAGGCGCACTCATACTAGAATTTTTATTGTAACAGGTACGAAATGGCACCTTTTGTATTTCACCTTTTCCTCGACCAGCTTCCATCGTAAAAACTTGTGCTTAGTCTAAAAAGATTCTCTGTTCAATTCTCGACAAGAATATATGAAACCACCCATTCAAAGTTAGAGTGAGAAAATTTGAACAAATAATACTGCGAAGCTCCACCGTAGCCAAGTTCCTAGGTTTCTTTGTTTTGAATTATTTTGTACGGTACCATAAATATGAATACAGAAACGTATCAGAGGAAGTTTGTGGATACAATCAAGTGTCCTCTTTCTCCCAGTGTACAGTGAAGTCAGTTTCAAGCAAGGATTCTGGTTCAAAGCCTGACTTCTGGTAGTGGAGTCGAGAAATGTCGAAAACTTGAACTATTTTGGTTTTTTTGTTACAATACGAAAAATGATTCAAATTCCGACGATTGCGAATGATTCATCATGCATTTCTCTTCAAGATAAAACTAAAACAGCTTCAAAGTTTACTTTCTGGTCGACTTGTACAAGTTTTCTTGAATGGCCCAAACAGCTGACGTAAAAGCGCGATTTAGGACCAAAATTTGAAAAAAGGAACGTTCTTTTTCATGGCAATTTTGCAGGTAAAATGTAGAGCTTTTAAAGCACTACTAAATGGCTGATTAGTTCTTTATGTTTTCAAGTGCCAACGAATAGAAAACAACACTTCTTTTTTAGGCGGGAAAATTGGCTATATTGGAGCTTCGCAGTATTATCTGTTCAAATTTTCTCATTTCAACTTAGAATAGAAGATTTTATATATTCTTATCGAGAATTGAACGGGGAATCTGTTGAGACCAGGCTCAACTCTCTACTACGAGAGCCGACCTCGATAATTGCCAAATACAAAAGGTGACATTCTTTATGCCGTACCCGTTATCAATGTTAATGTGTCATGAGTGATTTTTTGAAGAGACTTTACCACGCCAGTGCAGGATTAATAGGGCATTTCTCTAAAGAAATTCAATTTTGTAAAATGATGAACTGAAACTGTCAGTTACTGTTGTAGCGGACCGCTACTATATCGTTGCTGGATGAAACTTTGGCGAAAACTGGCTTCGCATAGAATCATAGAATACATGGATAGTTTCAAACCAATTTTATTTGTATTGATGAGACTATTCGATGAAATTGTTATTCAACGTGTATGTCAGATAGATCGTAAAGAATGACACACTGTTTGCATCTCATTTTTCTCAATGCTTACAAATGCATTATATTTGTTCCTTATTACCCATGTTTCTTTACTGCGCATTATTTTTTCTAAATAATAAAACAACATCATAATAGAATATAGTTTTCCTTATATAGAGTTTCTTATATCACAAACAATAAAGAATGTGCCTAAAAGTTGATAGACTATAAAACATCGAATTATTCATTCACCTATTTCTTCAGATAAACAGCAGATTTTAAATAATAACAAGAACAACGATAGAGAATGATAATAAAAAAGATCCGGTACGTGCACAACAAAAAACGAGAAAAGTAGAGAAAATAATTCATCACGCTGTTACAACACTAACGAAACGAATATGTTTAACAACGGCAGAAAGAAATATGATGTAATACAGTCCAGATGTTGTTGTTGTTATTGGTATGACTTTTTTTAAAATTCTTATTTCATTTCAACTTCTTCGGTTTTGATTAAAAACTCCACTATTTCTTCGCTTATTTGATCTTGACCAAATACAGAATCAGTATCTTTTCCTAAAACAAAAGAAATGATTATAATGTCGTCTATTAGCACTTTTCAGTTTAATTATATCCATAGATGAAAAAGTCAAGGGAATAGGTAACAAGCAACTTAAATCCATCTTAACAGAATATGGTCACTTTTAAATAAGAAAAACGCACAAATGCAAGAAAGGTCTTAAGAAAAAGAATAATAGACATGTATAACTAGTAAAAATTGACGCGGCTCTCAACAGTTTCCTGAGCAGATGAAACAAAAGAGTGTACGGCAGAGAAACGTAACATGCTCCATGACTAACTTGTAATAAGCAATAGAATGAAGATTCCGATATATTATTAGTTCATACAACAATTTATACCTCGAAGTCGAATTCTGTCTTGTTTTTGTATTTGTAAACGTTGTGAATTTTTATCCCTTAATCTTTTAAATTCTTCTGATTGTTTTCGACGATGTTCTTGCTGTCTGGCTGATTCACCAGTACGTAACATACGATCACGTTGTTCAAACACTTTGGAATAATTTTTCATATTTTTTCTAATTTCCTAGAAAACAAATTGACAAGAACTGTACTGTAGAAAATTAAGAGATCGTTGTGTATCTATTCCAAAACTCGGTCTCAACTGACCAGGTAAGAAGCGTATCCTTGCAACCTATTATATAATCAAATGGTTGCCGATGTTTAACGTTTAAAAAGTGCTCATCTTGTTTTCATATAACCGGGTGCAAAAATTAAACTTCTGAACGAACAAAGTGTTTTTATTAAATTGATGCTCAGACTAACCGATTACTTCCAACATCCTGCAGTTTTTCACCATTCCCTTAAAAGAGGGCGTAGGTACTATTTCTGATAAGAAATTCGTCAGCTCTTATTTTAACTTGAGGAAAACAAGTGTCTAGTAATACTAATTATGATATTCTCAGAACATCTAATAAAACAGAATTTAAATTCAACTGAATTACTCGTACTTCTTGTTTACAAGAACGATCAAAACTTACCTTGATGTTTTCTTCTGATAAAAGAGATGGTGGTCTTGGACGCCAATGAAATGCCGCCAGTCTATCAATATTTTTTTCAAATATCAAATTTCCTTGAAAACTCCAGAGTTTGAATGCATTATCACGCTAAATGAGAAAGAAAAACAGAGAATACAATAAGAATTAAAAGAGGAGAAAGTTAACGTACTTTTGCTGTCCAACAGGAAACAGATGTAGCAACGTAACGTCCACTTGGATCCCATTCAACATCTGATAAATCAATATGTTCTTGTTTTGACATAATCGACATATCATTTGTATCAACAAATAATAACAAACCACTACTCGATGAACTAAAGAGAGAAAAATAAACTATCTGTAATGACAAAAACAGGGTAAAATTAATGATTTTTTCCATGGGAAAAAAGTTTTTAAACACTCGGTTAAATTGCAACAGTCAAGAAAAAGAAACATCTGTCGAAAATTTTTGTTGTTGTTGATCACTAACTGTTTGTAAAAGTTTAAATTTCCGAAATTCAAACCGAAAATAATGAGAAACCATGTACAACATTATTGTCAAATAATTATTGGAGTAGAAGAACTAAAAGATACTAGTCTACTTAAAAAGCTATGCAAACTTCGTTGCGTCTAAAGAAAAAACCTAACATATCAGCTATTCTTACCCAGTTTTTACTGAGGCTAATACAAGAAATTGTCCATTAGGCGACCAAAATGCCGTTGTAACTGGTTGAGTCATCACCTCTGAAATTTTTTTATTGTAGCATGCTTATAATATCTTACATTTACTATTTTATACTCACTTAATGTTTCGACTTTTCCACCTTTTGGCAAAATTTTATAAAACGTTATACTTGTACGAACACTTTCACCCGATATAACACATAACTTATGTCCATTTGGTTCAACAGAAAATGATTGAATTGTTTCTAAAAATTCCAATTTATTAATGTTATTCATATTCAAATCACAAGAGAAATGTGTATATCACCTTTAACTTCGAGTGTATCGAGTGGATAATTTTTTTCTCTAATATGAAATATTTCAAAATTGTAAATCATACCCTATAAAAACAGACGATGAGCAAGATTTGAAAGAAAAACGAAACGAAATCCTTTTACTTACCGTATACTTCACATTATTTTTATCACCACTTTTTTTCGTATAACGATCAACTTTAACAACAAGATAATCACCACGCTTTTGCCAACAAAATTTACAGTCGGTAACATTGAATAATGTCTTGAAACAACGGAAAAAATACTTTTTGTCAAGCAGCACACTTTTAGCAAAATTTCTGCATACATACCTTTGAACGAACTTCTTGAAAAGTCTGACCAACTTCGGCTAAAACCACACGTACGGGAACATGTTCAGCTTCCGAACACCAATATGATATAAGATTGTCAGTTGGTGACCATTGAAAATCGGCAATAGATGGAACTTTAATTGGTTTTTTATCAACTAGATGAAATGTCTAAAATATAGACAAAGAAAAATTGTTAAACGCGCTCTCATATCTGAATGAATTACAAAAATACTCACTTCTGTTTCATACAATTGTAAACAATCATTTCCTTGTTTCGCGAAATACTGATCTTGAAAACTACATATTGAAAGAAGAAAAATTGTTAGAAAACATATCATGATGTTGTAAGTATGTGACAGTATCGAATCGATGTGAGATAGCCTTTAGTACAACGAGAAATCATGGAACAAAGTCAGGTAGTCGCTTCGCCAGTTTATGACATTACACATTCGGAAACATATGGCTACAACTCGGCCTTTTTATTATCATCATTCTTTGTCGTATTTTAAAAACAATATCTTACCGCTACTTTTAAAAGATCTGACATAAACATCTCATTATTAGCATTTCAGATGCTACGTAAAACTGCTACGTGATTAGTAACTGTGTGAGTGATCTCTAAATTTAGATTTTCTACTTAATAGAAATTTACTTGAAATATGGCCATTGTGGATTTTGTTGATCAAATGGAAACCAACGTAACTTTTGTCCAGTTATAATATCCCATATAATGACAGATTCATCTGTTCGCTGTGCCGGTGAGACTGTCACTAAATAACGTTCACATGGAGAAAAATCAATGTAATTCACTCCGCGATGGGCAAAACTATAATAGAAAAAATGTTTTATAGCATGCAACTTAGAAAACGCAAGATTACTGTCTATTAAAATACCGTTGTACTTGTCGAAAATCTTTTCCGGCCCAAAACGCAATTCCCTGTTCATGAAACGATGCCAAATAGGTACCCCTTGGCGACCAAACAAAATGCGTTTCAGTCCATTTCTAAATAACAAAATAATATTTGTTTTATCAAAAAATGAATAAATATAAAGAACAAATCTCATACACTTCTATCTTCCAAAATGACTGGCTGTGGTAAACTATTGGAATAGATCGTTGTCTTTTTCGGTTCATCCGATAATATTGCGAATTGATCGACAGCATCTAATTCACTTAACCACCATAATAAATTTCCCTTTAGAAATAAAATAGGCAACTAATTTATTCTATTCATACAATTAACAATGTAAAAGTACATACAAAATCATCTTTTTCAGTTGGAATCGCTGTTAAGCTAAAGTAGTAGAATAAACATTGATTACTTACAAAACAGATAATATTTAATATAAAACGTTTTACCGATCAAAATCCGACATAAGATTAACGATAAACTGATGTGATTTATCCAATGGATAACCGTCTGTTTGTTTAACGGCTTCGAGTGCTGCTTGTTCCGATTCAAATTCAAAAAATCCATAACTACGAAAAAATGAATAATGAAAAATCGAGTATAAAAGTGCATATTCCTACCCTTTTGTTTTTCCTTCTTCATCAATTGGATAGTATTCGTTTTTAATAGGACCAAATTTATTGTACACTTTTGCGACAACCACTTTTAATTTTTCTAATTTTGCTGTATCAACACGCGGTAAATTGTCAATAATAATAATATTATTTAAACTTTCATGTTTTTGAGGTTTTTCAAGAAATAAATCAGGACAAAGTTTATCATCAGTTAAAGTAGAAACGAAATCCTCATCATCACTAAAACTGGGCATTTCCTCTTCTGCTTCTTCATCCTGTCAAAGAAAAAGAAAACTGACAAACTATATAAAATTTGTTTATTTTAAATTTCTTACCTCAACTTCAGCAAGTTTATCATCTTGTTCTTCTTCTTCTTCTTCATTTTCACTGCCTCCTTTCATATTTTTGCGAGGCTTTTCAACATCACTGCTTTCAGATAAACGTTCTGGCATTCTCTGGTGTATTCAAATATCCAAAATATCTACAAAAAAAAGGTAGACTTTCAAATTCAGCTATCGACAAATAATAAATAGAAGTCTAAAGAGAGAAAAAAATATTTTGATTTTATATTTGATTAGTTTCTTTTTCTATTTCCTTATAGAATCTAACATTCGTGTGAAAGATACTCATATGAGACTACTGTAAAGACAAGGCAAGTTACTTTCTGATGAATAATGCTTCCTGTGAACCACACTCGTTTGGATAATGAAAGTCTAACGTAGTGGCTTGACTTCAATACAGAGTATGTCTTCCTGTAATATACAATCTCTCTAGAATTTCTAATAAGATGCTACAGCAATATGTACGCGTACATTTTGTTTTACCGAACACGCTGTACCCACTGTCGAACATTTTTATTTAATACCGGCGGTGAATCACGGTATAATCTGAAACCGCTCGATATATTGACGGTATTCTCCACATATCGGTGCAAAGAATGCCGCTCGATACGCCGTTTCAAAGTTAGTCACCTTTTTGTTTTGATGGTTAGAGGAGTATATAACAACAACAAAAAATCAAGAGATTTCTAACTTGTCTCTCACTGACTCGTCGAAGCGCATGGATTGTGACTTGAGGCACACAGTGAAGCAGCATTGTCTCGCTGTCTGTCATAGGATGTCCTACGATGACTGTCATCCGTGACTATCGATCAGTTTAAAAACCTTGGAAAATTATCAGCTTTATTCATTTTTCTACTGGCAGTAGTCAAGACATGAGACGTTACTACATTCACCAATTAAATACACTTGCTATATATAGTATCCAAGTTTTGGTAATTAAACGACTCTAGTATATGAGCAGTACTTGTTATTGAAGATCGGAGACCTTTAATGACGCACACTTTTCGCGAATAAATTAATCGTGATCTTAGTTCATGTCAATTAATTCAAATGAGTGTGACTTACACATACATACACATCTGTATAATATATATATAGGCACTCACACACAATACCCACGATTCTGATTATTCCAAATCTCCATCCTATCGCAACTTACCTTTTTTCTTTTGCAGTGCTATATTATATATATATGTGTACAGAATATAAAAACCGAAAAGGCAACGGGAGATTTCAAAAGGTTTTTTTCTTGAAATTACGAAATTTTTTACACCGACTGACAAACATAGACCTTCTTGAAAAGTGGAATAGTCTTAAACAAATCGATAGATGTCACTTTTTCTGGTTAATATGACATGATTTGTGATTTTGAAACTTTTTAAAATTTAAAAAACAAAATATTAGTGAGAATAAACTAAAAATATGCAACTAATTCTTAAGGTCATAATATTTGATTCATTGCGATGGGAGATAATCCTCTACATACTCCAAGATACACGCACATCGTAATGCAAATTTTTCTTCTTTCTTTCTTCCTTTCTTTCTGTTATCAGAAGTTAGGAAGCTTTGACTAAAGTTATATCCCTACGTTAGTTATTATATTTATACTACTGTTATTAGTATCATGATGACTATGATATTGATGTTGATGATTCAATACAAGGACGTTGATTATAATAACTTTTTGTAAACAAGAACCTTCTTTAAGACAACAAAAAAAGGATGAGATGAGAACATAAAAAATATTTGTAGAGTATAATAGCAGAAAAAAAAGAGAAAAGATATATATTCGTTGTACGCCAAAATTCTTTCCTTTTCTACTCATTTTGGAAATAGTATCACATTTTTATTATTCCATGTCTATATACTATCTCTACACACATGCACTTTATTCTTTTATGTTTTATATTGTCGACTGGTACTTCTCTCTATTCAAGTGTGTTTGTTTTCTTTTTTGTTGTTCTTTTTTTTTTGGTATGTACTTTGATTGTGGTACAACAGATAGATATGTTGTAATTTATATGTCTTCGTCCAAATTAAATCTACCTGCACATATGGGTGCCGGTGTTATTACAATTATCTTGCAATTTTTTTTTAGAAGAAAGATATTCTTTTAATCAATATAAAATTAAACAACAAAATCCAAACAATCAATCATGTCTGGTTGGGATCAGTATGTGACAAATTTAACCAGTCAAGGCATTACACATGCTGGAATATTTGGTGCTGATGGTTCAAAATGGGCAGCATCTCATCATTTTCCTGTAAGCTTTTTTTATTCTGAAGTAAAAAAGTATAAAATTGTTTCTGATAAGGAGTTAATAGACTCAAGTTTGATTTTTAGCGTGGATTTTACTAGAAAAAAGACAAAAAAATAAGTAAAGAAAAGCTCTTCGATCACGACTGATATATACTATCATATTCTTCAGTTTCGTTATGTTAATCTTTATTATATGTATATCATTTGTTGGTTATTTAATTTTTTTATTTAGACTATTGATAATATCAAAGAGGAACTATCCAAAGCATTTTCAACTCAACCATCTGGCATTGTAGTTAATGGTGAAAAATATATTTTTATACGTAACCAAGATAATTTTGTTGTATTTCGAAAGGGAGCTGATGGTATGGTCATAGTCAAATTAAATCAAGGTAAATATGAAATTCGATACTTAACACTTGTTAGTGTATAAATTTAAAACGTAAGTCAAAATGTATTTGACCTTCTCTATTATTTGTGGCAGTGTTTTAAAAGATTTATTTTAATTCATTATTCATTGTTCTCACTAAATTCTTTATAACTAATTAGTAATATTCACTATAACACGATTTGCGGTTAGACAGTATAAAACTCATTTTTCCATGATTCATACATCTTTTCTTAAATTAATTTCTCTTGGTGTTTTTTTGTTGTATTTTAGCTTATATTGTTTCAATCGGGATTAATCAAAAACCTGAAATGCTTGTAGCTGCAACAAACAAAATTGGTGAATATCTGAAAAATTGTGGATATTAATTGTGCTTTTAATCTCATATTTCATATCTATTATATTATTAACGTGTGTGTGTCTTTAGTCAAAGCTTTTTTCTGTTTTTATCTACACGAAACAACTAATATCAACAAAATAAATCTGTGTGCGTAGCACAAAAAAAAACAAGATGTTTATATTTATGTTGCTTTTTTTTTAAAAAGAGATACTACAACACAATACCAGTTTTCTAATTCTTTTCTTAGGTCTTTATCTTTTTTTTATATTCCGTGATGCATGTAGTTTTGGGAAAGGATCATTTTTGGGTTTTTTTCAATTTGTCTAAGCGATCATAGCATGTTTTTTTTCCGTCTTTGTCGTAATCTGTTTGTTGCTTCTTTTTTACTGATTTACCTCCCACCGTCTCGTGCAATGCACTTTTGTAGCGTTTCTATCGTTTAAGTGATTAAAAAAAAAAAATGAGAAAAATATATTTATCGAGAAACATTAACTATTTATCTAAAGAAGAAAGCCCATTCATTAAAAAGAAATAATAAGTTTATGTTTTCGTCGTGTTCTGTCCTACAATAATTGGCATGATTTGGTCTACTATTGCTTTTTTTGTTTGTTTTTTTATTGTCTTTATAAATCACAATACACACGCGTTTTTCATATTTTCTTATTATTATTTAAATAACACTGAACATTATGAAAGATGTGTTAGAATTATGAATATGAACTAGGCAGAACTTGATATATCACCTATCCTGTTAACTATATAGATTGCTTTGTGATAAATTATTTCCCAACATGCTTAACCTATTTGTAGCTATTGTTTGCTCTTTTACATGTACCGAATACATCCAATGTTATTCAATTTTTTCCTACGCTTTTATGTCTATTCGTCCAATTCAATTCATAATAATCGAAATTGTCCAATCTGAGTTACTTTGTAGAGCAGCAGCATCGTTGGTCTGTTTTGTCTTGTCACATATTTTTAATATTATGTTTTTTCTTTTATGACCCTAAATTACATGACAAACAATTAACCAGAAAAAGGTTTTTGTTTTTTGTTCTGGTATAATTGTTGAGTCAGTCAACAAAAAAAAAGAATACATGAAACAATTGAATTGTTTAATAACTCGAAGGTTAAGTGATCATGTACGAATGTCAATCAAAAATAGAAATTACTAAGATTTTTTTTATTTAAAAAGGACTAAGTAAATATTATAATGTTGACACTGATATAATGTATCTGGAATTTAGATGCAGTCTCGATCTGTTTCTTCTACTGTTTCATGTTTCTATAAAAATATTTAATAGACATACATGACAAAAAATTGGTATCAAACCGAATTATTAAAATATCACTAGATGAAATTCTCATTAAAAAAAAGAAATTTTTCTTATGTTTTTTCGATGAAATTAGACATTTTTCCATCGATAGTTTCGAGACATTGTAATTGTGAAAACAGAAATCACGCTCTTTCAGCTACACTCAGCAATATTACTCTTTGGTATTGGTGTCAATTAATCATCATTTATTATTATCAATTTTTCTGAGAAGGATGATAATGTTTTCATATGAGTATATAGTAAGACTCCTTTTTGATCACTTGTATTAATAGGATTCACAGATATGATCTAATTTGAATAAACTATGGACTATAAAATTGTTGACATTTATTCAAGTGTGAAATGTCAGATCAACAGCGACACCTAACAGGGATTTTAATCTTCGCTTTAATTGGTTGCTATGGGTGATTTTTGTAAAACTAGTGTTGAATTTAAATATGACTAATTTAATTTTAAAATTCGTCATTGACACATCATCAAATAAGACGTGTTATTATTTTGTTCGCTCGTGGATAAATTATTAATTGAGAGGCATAAACAATTTTAGAATGATACGAAACAGAAGTGTGTATGGATAAGAGTTTTTGAGAAATGAGATTATTATAACTGGTCAAATTTTGCCAGGCTTAAAATTTAGCCGTGATGTGTTTCTTTGACAGTTGTAATGAGCCATGTGTCATTTCATTGCAGATGATGTAAAATATATTCTTTTATTTCCGTTTTTATTAAAAACAGTTTTATTACATATTTGTACAAACTAAAATAATTATGGGTAGTGTTCTAAGTATATTTTCAAATTTATTTGGCAGTAAAGAACGACGAATATTAATTCTAGGTTTAGATGGAGCAGGTCAGTTCATAATTCATAGAGATTTTAATCTTTTCCTTACATTGATTTATTTCGTTTATTCAAGGAAAAACAACTATTCTTTATCGTTTACAAGTCAGTGAAGTTGTGACGACAATTCCTACCATAGGATTCAATGTTGAAACTGTACAGTATAAAAATTTAAAGTTTCAAGTGTGGGATTTAGGTATAAAACAATTTTGTTTTTCTTCGCTAAATTTTCTAATCGTTTGTTACAAGTTTTCGTTTAATCATTAAACGGTCAGTTGAGTCAGTCATTCATTGTACTTCAGAAGTATTTTGTTTTTTAAATCTATATAAAAGTTTTAAACCCATCATTATGGGCCAAACATATTCCTTCTAATATAATGAGAGATTAGATGTCTGAAGATATATTCAGTGATAAATCTTTGATCATTTCTAACAGATGTTATGTATGTAGTATCAACTGTCATCTCATATCCAACTGTTGTATACTTATTGAATCTCTAGAACGAACTTGAAGTCTGATATTTATTTACTGTTGTGTCTGTCTTTAAGGCGGTCAAACATCAATAAGACCCTATTGGCGTTGTTATTATTCTAATACGGATGCTATTATTTATGTTATTGATAGTATGGATCGTGATCGTATTGGAATATCCAAACATGAATTAGTATCAATGTTAGAAGAAGATGAATTAAAAAATTCCGTATTATGTGTATTTGCTAATAAACAAGATTTAGATAATTGTATGAGTGTATCAGAAGTAGCGAATGCACTCGGTTTAACAAGTTTAAAGAATCGAAAATATCAAATATTTAAAACCTCTGCTATTAAAGGTACGGGTCTTAATGAAGGAATGGAATGGCTATCAAATTCGTTACAACAAAAAAAATAGTAGATCTGATATTTAACTTATACACTAGGTTAATTTACACATTGAACATTATTATCACCAAAACAGCGTCATTTTTTTGTTTTTGCCTTTATTCTTCTGCTATCATTCTATGCTACACTTGTAGAGAAAAACTATTTGGTAACATGTAACATTGTTAATTTGTTATTTTTTATTTGTTGTTTTCTTTCTTCGTCTTTTTACTAACAAACTCTCTCACTCTCATTTGTTCCAGTATTAAACGTGTATAATTTTTTTGTTTTGTCCATTATAATACCGTCTAATACAAATGCACACACAATGTGATTAGAAGTTGTTGTTGTTATGTTATTCGTTTCAGTGCTTTTTTGCTTTTATAATTTATTGAAATAAAAGTAACAAATAAGCAAATACGTATGCAAATTTGAATATGACATTTTTTTTATATTTTCACTTCTTCTCTGATACATAGATAGAATTTTCTCAATATCTATAGATTGAATATGAATCTATATCGTGTTTTTTAATCATCACCTTCTGAATGTTTTTATTCTAGTTAAAAAAGTCATTAATTGTTAGCTGCCTTTTGATTTGATTTACGGCTATTTTACTTATGTGCTTGATTATTGTATAATAGTGAAAAATAGAATGTAATATGATAGACTTTTGAGAGTCGACGAGTGTCTTTGAGCGTCTTTGAAGTGGATGATAAGAGTGTCTTTGATTTTTCTTATCTTAATGCCTTACACATTAAATTGTAAGATTTTAAGTTCTTGTATTCTTCTAGTAGTGGAGGGAAACGTCGCCATATCTAATGTATGTAGAAACAAATTAGTCGAAGAACTATAGGTAAGAAGGGTTAATTTAGCAATTTTAGAACATAGCGAGACAAATCTATAAGTTATGCGTCAGTGAAAAAGAAGAAGTAAACGTAACGCGTTTTATGTTTTTCATTTGAAACAAGTGCGTTAAAGAAGATACTATGGAATTTGAGAATGAATAGAAAAATCGATGAATACCATTGCAGTTTTGCAAAATTCTAAAAGACGCGAATATCCACGAACACCCCCAAATTAAAATCTGAGTTAGCCAATCGATAGAGCTCGTCCAGCTGAGTATAGCAACGTCTAAAGAACACCCAAAAAAGTGTGCTAAATTCATCTCCAGGTTGTTCTGAGCCTACTGATAGGCTGAGGGTGAGGTACTGATAGGCTCAGAACAACCTGGAGATGAATTTAGCACACTTTTTTGGGTGTTCGTGGATGTTCGTGTGTGTTCATTGAAAATGTATGCTTAAAAAGCGAAACTATAAGAACTTTTTTGGGTGTTCTTTAGGCGTTGCTATACTCAGCTGGACGAGCTCTATCGATTGGCTAACTCAGATTTTAATTTGGGGGTGTTCGTGAGTGTTCGCGTCTTTTAGAAATACCCTCGTTCACAAACAGTAGCTAAAGAAAAATCATGTTTTTCTAAACTATTATTAATTATTGACAATTTTTTATATCAAAATGGTTTCCACACAGCATCCACTTTATCAGTATTAAAGCAGTATAACACTCGTTGTATATTAAACATATCTGGTTCCCTATTAGTTTCTAAAATATGAAATGATTTAAAGATAGAATATTACATATTCGTATTAATGATGATATTCATGAAAGCCATTGATCTTTTAATTGTATGTAAAAAGAACAATGAAATAGTACTTGTTTATTGTTCATATAATCTTTCTCGATCATATGCAATTATTTTGGCTTATTTTATAAACTATTATCATGAAATATTGTTGGAAGCCTATATATATATATATTTATTAGGAGAATGTCCACAAGCCGAGCTATATTTGGTCTTTCTATTACAATTGATACCGTATAAATAAATATTAAAAGTAAAAGACAAAAAGTAATTTTAACCTAATCGTTAGTTTTATTGTCGAATTGATTGTTTTTACGGTGTAATAAAATCGCTTTGCAAGAATTAAAACGGATTTAAAGATGTGTTCAAGTTGAATATAAATTTGAGACAAACATCATATCATGTCTGATATCTAGTACAAGTATAATTTTTTGGAAGAGAAAGTAAAAAGGGACACCATCACAGACACGAGAGATGTAATAAACAAGTGAAAGATTTTGATTTCATGGTGAAACTGCTTAAGAAGACAAACTAATGTTACTGTTTTATGACTATTAGTATAAGATTAATGAGATTTATATTTAAAATTCAGAAAATTGTGTCGTAGCTTAGAAACAATATCTAGAGTGAAGGCTTATCTCAATTATCTTTTGAAATTTTAATTATAAACGTCAAATGGTTGGATGAGAAGTTTTCAAAAATTTGATTTTTTATTAATTATATCTCATTTGCAATTTCAACTTGACTTTTCCGTTAGCGACCGGTATTTTATAATAGTTTATCATTTTTTATATTATGCGCCTTTTTTTCTTGTATAATTTCTCACAATGAGTACATTGTAACAAAAAAAATTTAAAAAAAGAAAAAAAGAAAAAAAAAAAGTACATTGTGACATGTACAAGTAATTGGGACATTTTTACTATGCATGTTCTTTCAATAATGAGCTAATTTGTCAGTGATTACTTTTTTGTGCTGCAAGTATTGCGACGCTCTTCTTTTCAGACATACTCAAATTGTCAATGGTAAACCCGTAACATGTTAGATAGAATGCGGATACACAATTTTTTGTCTAATTCAGTTGTACGTAGTAAGGGGAGGGGCGTTGTTTGACTTTCTATTCACTACAACATATTATTTTTTTCTGATAAAACTCCTAGGAGATACCAATAGCTCAAATATATCACTACTGTCATTCAAAGCGCTTTTACTCAATTTTAATGCTGTGTGGATTATCTAAATTCAAGTAAAATACAAAGCTACTCGTCTCCCTAAATATAATAGTCGAATAGTATGCAAAAATTATCCATAAAGAATTTCGAGAACATTTACATACCAGAATTATTAGCATTACCACTGCTGAGATTAAAAATCTTTTGATAGACTGTTTTTACATAGAATGGTTAGTCGAACTTGTACGAACAGCTTATTTCTATATACTTTTCTCGCATTTGGATTCGTGATTGTTATTTGCCAGCTTTATTGAGGTCTGCTTTCCGTCACTGTGATATTATGAAATGGCGAATGAAATCGTACGATTGTTTTCCCATTTTTGATGCTTTTCTTTTTTCTCCTACACATTTAACAACAGCATAGATACTGATATCTAATACATATCATTATACTGGTTAAGAATTAAATTAGATGAATAATGATAATAATAATAATAATAATAGTGACTTAATGAAAAGAAAATGGAACATGATTTATAAATTTTAAATATTTACACTCAGTGTTATTAACAACACGAATGATATTGGATTTGCAGCCGTATCATCCCTTCAAAATTTATTAATGAATACAAACAAAACTTAACATACAAAGAATGGGCCAGAATTACTGAAACGAATTAATAAACCGTTTATATATAAATCGTTTCGGTAATTCTGGTCCACCCTTTGATGTGTTAAAACGAGTTGAGAATTACATTTCAAAAAGCGATTGGCAATGAAGAAGCCATTTGCTCTGACACATTCGTTGGGAAGCAATAAAAGAAGAATTATCGTAAATCTGGTTTATGCATTATAATGAAAAGAGGAGAAATTTTAAGTAGAAAAACACAGGCTTTGGACTTTGAGGTTTTTGTGGAGTTTAATGGACTCACGTCATCTTATGCGGACTTAGATGAAATTTTAAAATCTATCAGAGTTCAATGGATTTCTAAATTCCATTGGACTTTTACAAATCTATTAAAGTCTATAAGATCACAAAAGTTTGCATAAGAAAGTTCCTTAAATTCCTGAACTTTTAGAATCTTACGTGGAAGTTGGAACTTAAGTGACAAATTTGCTGTGTTTCGCAGCGTCTAATAGTGATGAACAAAACCTTGGGGTTTTGCTTGAAAAAGTTTAAATTCAATCATATGCACAATGACAGTGTATTTAGTTAGTACTTTGTCAATCTATCTCCAGAGGCAACTTTTGATAAATTCGAATGACAGTCAGGTTTTACTGATCGAATCTTTTAAGTTGCTTCTTTCGAGTAAATAAATATTTTTGAGCATTCTGTTTATAAACGTCGGTCGATGCGTTCACTTTTTCTTACCACAAGTGTATGCATAATTTATCATATGTATCTTTGCTTTTCTTTCGTAACGAGCGATTAGAGGAATTTTATTCTTACATGATATATGGAACAGATAATACGGTGCTTGACGATTTTATTAATTAATTTGGATGAATTATGAGTTTTCTAAAAAGAGAAAGTGACTTTACCTTCTAAGCTATAAATCTAATAACTATTTTTTTTCTTGAAGAGATTATCAACAAGTAACAATCTTCTAAAGTTATATTCTTTGAATCTAAAGAGAGTTTTGATTAGATTAATTAATTTCTCATTTTATTTTCTAGATGACGTTAAATGAGTATATGCATCCGCGTAATCGTTATCGTAATAATCCATCGAATTTTGAATATTTGGCTAATAAATACGAGGATCTGAAGCCATATGTGAAAAAAAAATCAAAAGGTGGTGTTACATTGGATTTTCGTAATTCACATGCATTACGTGCATTGACATATGCCGTATTAAAAGAAGATTTTAATCTTAATATACAACTAAGTTTAGAACGTTTAATTCCACGTATACCACAAAAATTAAATTATCTACATTGGATTGAAGATTTAATTGGAATGAAAGAACAGGCTGTTGGAATTGATATTGGTATGTATGTTGACAAATATTGTGTGTGAGATGAGAAAAAAAAAACATTATATACTTTAGGTGGTGGATGTTCGTGTATTCATGCATTATTAGCCGTTCGAATGAATCCACTATGGGAAATGATTGTATCCGAAATAGATCCTTTGAATGTTAAAATGGCCACAGAAAATGTCGAAAGAAATCATTTACAAAATCAAATCAAAGGTCAGTGAACTAAATTTTAATTACATATTAAAATCATCAAAAATTATTTCATTTTTCAAGTTATTCGAGTTGATCCAACAATGTTATTACACGGTTTATTAGACAAAACAAAACAATATGATTTTCTCATGTGTAATCCACCATTTTTTACTGATATTATTGAAGCACAAGGTTTATCAAATACACGAACATCAACACGTCATCAAGCGAATTCGGTGAGCACAGCAAGTGATATTGAAATGATTTTTAATCAAGGAGGTGAAGTATCATTTGTTAAACGAATAATAAATGAAAGTTATTCATACAAGAATAATGTCAGGTAGAAATATTCCTTTTAAGAATGTATCCATCTTTGTCTCTATTAACTATAATCAAATAATAATAATTTTTATAGATTTATTTATAATTTTTCTTTAGATTGTTTACAACTCAATTGGGAAAAAAATCTAGTTTAACTGAAATTGTTAAAGATTTAAAATTAATGAACAATGATCTACATTATATTACAAGTGAATTTTGTCAAGGACATACAATGCGTTGGGCAATTGCATGGACATTTGATCAAACATACATATTTCCAACTGAATGTCATTCACATTTGGCATCTAAAACTATTAAAGTAGAGTATTATTGATCTTTTCTGTTTATATTGTTGATTATTTTAATTCTTTTGTGTTTTTTTATTATTTAGAAAGCAAAGAAAAAAGAAGCTGAAAAAGTTCCACTAAATTGGACATTTGATGAAAAATATTCTATGGATTATATAAAAAAATATTTGGAATATATTTTTAATGAGTTAAAAGTAAAATGATCATCTTTTGTATAATGTAAATAAATAAATTGTTTTGTGTTTTTTTAAGCTTAGTTTTCAGAATATTAGTGAATATGCTTGGACATTTGATGCCTATGAAAATACGTGGTCTCATCAACGACGAAAACGACGACATCAACAAGACGATGAACAAACAACAACAACAAAACGTCTTAAACTTGATGATGAACAATCGATGGTCAATATTGAACAAACATCATCTACTATAAACAAAATAAAAATTTGTTCTGTTCAAGTTCGTTTACAGATGTACAATAAAAAATGCACATTATACATGTCATTTGTAGATGGAATAAATTCGGATGCAGCAAATCAAGTTTTACAGTATATGAAAAATCATTTTGTATCTTATGAAACAAAAATTATCCAATAAAAATAAAAATCATAATAGACTAATTTTTGTTTTGTATATTGTTTAATTTTTTTTTGATCTATAATCTAAAACAAATTGTGTATGGTCTCTAGATATTTATTGACTAATAAAAAAAAAGATACATTTTTTTATTCTGGTACATTAGCTTTATGACGAAAAGAAAAACTTCAAAAAACAAGAAAAAAGAAAAGAAATATAACGGAAGGCAAAATTCATAGTTTCTGAGATAAAGAAATAGAAATATTAGACAAGAGATTCTTAATGTGATTCTTTAACTAATATATGTAGTCAAATATTTAGGTTACTGATATAGAATGAGAACTAAGTAATTTTTATAAACGGAGAGTATCATTTGTAATAAAAAATATTTATCTTTGTCCATATCTACACACAGCTCCATCGAATCTATACACAATGGCATTGGACAGATATATGTCTCTCTACATAGAATTTAATAAAATAATAGAAGTCTGAATGGAGAACTTAGGCTTAGATTTTCACACAGAATAAATCTGATTTTTATTATGATTGTCATTTTTTCTTCATATTTACCTAAAAAAGATAGCGGGTGTTCTCTCTTGCAGAACAAGATAGCTATTACAATCAATTGTGTTAAGGAACGATAATTACACGCGTTTATCGTGTGAACAATCAGATATTATTCGAATTGAAGAATGAATAGTTTGATTTTGTATGATTTTCGTTGTAGATAAAGAAAAAAAATATTTTCATTGTCATGGTTCATGTAAAACAATCTATTTATTTTTTCAATTATCTGATTTAATTACTTCTTAAATTATACCGGTTTTGGTACATCTTGGTATTTTTACAATAATGCCTATTTAAGTACGTAAATATTCATTTTTCCTAATATTATGGCCTTGGAAAATAATTAAATAGATAAACTGTTGCCTTTTAAATAAGAGTATGTCAATAGATAAATTTCTCTTTCACTAAAGTCAAAACTTAAATAAAATATTTTTCTTATAGAGTTCTAAAAAGCTATGTTGATAGAATAACTTTTAATGATAAGGTTACAGAATTCTTCATTATGCTCAAGATATTATAAACTTTTATTATTAAATCTTTAATTTTTCATATTTCGTTCCTGTTTAACTTGTTAAATAAAGAATTTATACCGACAACTATTTGTGTTAGAAACTCGATGATTTAAATCAATATTATATATACTCATATAAAAAATAATTTCAGTATCGACAGATCGTAGAGAAACATTTAAAATTTCTTTCTATCTAACTTCTAAATAAATTCTACGATACTGGTCGAAAAGTTTATATCTTTAAAACGACACTTGAACTTTATGCATCAAAAGTTAGACTTAATTAATATTTTTAAATAAAATACGCATCATATCTTTCTTTGTCAATTTTTAATGAAACTTCTATGCTATTTTTTTTGTTTGGTAGAGAAATGTTCCAAGAAATTATTCGGTACATTTGGAAATTTTTATATAAAAACTTCGAATATGAGAAAAACTACTAAAACTTGCAACACCTGTTTTGGTTACCCATATACACGGCAAGAAAATAAGTGTCCAAAAAAGCGACCGCTAGAAAACGTCTACGAAAAAACATACTAAAAAAAGCGTCGACAAAAATGAGTCCACAAAAATTTGTCTAAGCATAGTATTTAAGCGAATACTGCATAGATGACTCGCTTCACTGTACTAGCTTATCTCAGAAACGACTGATTTCCCGCGATAGTGGATCGGTCAAGCAAATCAGGCGTGCTCAGAGTGCGTCTTCTGAAATAGTCTGATGTAACTCTTTAGAGACTTCTATTTTAGAAGACATTGAGATAAAAGTTGGGATAAAATATTTTAGCTTCCGGGGGGGGGGGCGCGCGCCGGGGGGGGGGGGGGGGGGGGGGGGGGGGGGGGGGGGGGGGGGGGGGGGGGGGGGGGGGGGGTGGNATTTAATACGATATTCATAAAGTTGAATGTCTCTTAAAGGCCCCTTCCCCAGGAATTCGATTATTTCTTCGAAACCTTCGAAACTGAAGTAACTATACGGTTAAGTATCCCAAAGTGTCATCTTTCAGAATCCATCTCAGTTTGCCAAAAATTCAATATTTTTGAAAGAGATTTCTGAAAGCCGTAAAAAGCATCTTTTTCTAAATTTCACGTTTTAGTTAAATTTGATTGTCCGTTTTAACAGATATGAAGCTATGTTGAGCAGAGTGTTCTGATCAGAATGAGATATCCAGCAGGTTTGTACGACTTTGTCTTGCAGAGTTATACTAGTTTTGCAAAAGGCGCTGAACTATAATTAATGAAATGATGAAATCATTGCTTAGAATATGGTTTTGGCACAGTAAAGTTGTAATAACTCCTAGACGATTCATCGTTAAACCTTCATTATTCTTTTTTATTTTGAAGCTAAGACATTTATCTAAACTTTAATCCGCGGCGATTTCTGATTTTTGTTTTCTGTGCAGAGATAAGTGGCAAATACTCCGCCGAATTAGGGTTATTTTCAGAGGTCTGACTTAAAATACGTGTAGGAAATGAACAGAAGCGAAATTCAAAAATCGCCGCAGATCAAATTTTAGATTTAGGTGTCTACTTTCATTTGAGGCCTCTCGCAGCTTTCTGCACTTTCCAACAAAAAAGTTATAACGCTTTTGCTGAGGGCCCGATTTTCCCTCTTGTCACGCACTAACTCGGCAGCGTTTCAACGTTTCGATTTCAAATTCTTAGCATAAGCTCGTAGGACAGTAAGCATTAATCACTGAAATCGCCATCGAAACCGGATGTAAGATAAAAAAGTTTTTTCCTGAGGGGAAGAGGCCTTTAAGAGACATTCAACTTTATGAATATCGTATTAAATTTAAATTATAGAACTCGAAATGAGGTAAAATGAATCGAAATACTAAATTTACTTATCCAAAACAGTAGACAATGTTAAATTACACACAACTTATAATTTTTCAAGATAGCCAATTGTTTTTTAACTTTTATATGTTTTCAAAAATCATAATATCCGCACATTTATCCACCCAGATGATTGAATCGTATTATCCGATTGTACAAGATCGTATGAAATCATATACGACTATGTACGATTTACATACGAATCATGGTATCTGATTTGTCATCTGATTCGTACTTTACGATTTCATACGGAGTTGTATGATTGTTTATGATGTTGTACGGTCGTATTATACGATCCAGACGACAAATCAGATACCACGATTCATATATGATTTTCATGCGATTTTGTTTGACCTGAACAGTACTGAATTCAAGAAAAATACTCTAATACTCACTAAAGAACGTTCTTGTCTACAATTTCTGATATGCAAATTTCGTATCTAATAAAACAACTCAAAAATTTGATGAGATACTCGGTTTTACATGTTGAACATGATTTCTGTTTTCACTAGTAAAGTTTTCTGCAAAACCGGATGAAAAACCAACGCAATTTTTGAACATTTCCAAAGTGGAACAATTAAATCATGTTCAACATGTGAAACCGAATATCTCATTAAATTTTTGCGTCAGCTGAACTGATTTTGAGTAAAATGTGAAACTATTCAATAATAGCTCCAAATCGGTATTTTCACCGAGTTTAACTTTTTATGAGATATTTACACTTTTTTTAAAAAAACATTACCACGAGATTTCGTATGCTTCCGATACCTAGAAATCATTTGTTGAGGTTATAAAAAAGTGGCAAGACATCTAAATGAGCAATTCGGTTATTTAGTCTGAAGAGGACACTCTAGGCTATCAATCCACGAAAAAAATCAATAGATTTATATCTTAACTTCTTGAAATTGGACATGGTTTTCCAAAGATCTTTTATAACATCTTCTTGAAAAACTGATTTGAAACTCGTTTTACTTATCAGAATATCTCCAAGTTTCCTTTTTCTATTGGGGAAAACCATAGTTTTCTATCAAAAATTGGTCATGAAGTCCATTCTTTTTCTTAACAGATAATAATTGTAGGATAACTTGTAAGTGACTGTTTTTAGGTTACGAACTTTTAGCCAGTACTGTACCGACCATCTGTTTCTTAATATTTTCTCACGTTAAAATGTTTAATCACCAAAAAAAAATTCATTGTTGATTTAAGTCATAGAGAGGTTTGTAAAAACAAACACTAAACTCAATCGACTGACTAGCGTTTGCATATGAAAAGGAAATTATCGAAGATACAACAATTGAACAATAGAGAAGCCAAAAAAATTGACAACTATTGTCAATATAGACTTTAATGTCATCATACTCCGATTTTTGACTTAAATTTTTTATTTAGATTTATTCTTCTTTTCTCATTCATGGGAGAGGGGGAGGGGGCGCGCTAGTTTATCATATTATCAGCATTTGATAAAACGGAAACATCACAAAAAAGATAAGATTATCAATCTTTTTCTCATTCAGAGATGAACTGCAGCGACACATAGAATCACATGGGGTAATTATGATAAGGTCATCAAAATTTCGTCGTATTTCTGGCATAGTTCGCTCAATTTTGACCGAAAAAGAAGTGGTATTTAACCGTTAGGTAGATGTGAGTATTTCCTATCGAATGATGTAAAACAAAAATTTCAGAAGCTGATTAGTGTTAATGAATGATAATGGAGATGAATTTAAGCATTTTTCAATTGACCATAATCACCTCATTTGGGGTAATTTTGATCAGTCTGTGTAGTTTCCACGGGAAAATCAGAGTTTGAATTCCACCGGCTTACAGAGATTGATTTGACACTAAAACCAAGTAGAAAAGTTGTAGAAGAGATTGTTCTCTATCACATGAAGTGAAAAGTAGAACAAGCCGTCTGATGAGTTTTGACGAATTTTAGCACATTTTTGTATATGATTTTTGGTAGTCTAATTAAGGTGGCACCTTTAATACTTCAGTAATTAAAAAAGTGTTAAACTTTTCATATTCTACAGATGTTTCTCTATCTATTGAGTGAAAGAAGGATTTTAAAACATAACTTTTTACCCGAACTACGCAGCGTTTAATCGGATGAGCTCAAGGTATTGGCATGATGATAGGGAACAGATATGAAAACTGGAGGTGGTATCGGAAAAAATTTAAATATCCTAAAATTTATTGTGTTTACTGAAATATGTTGCCACTTTTACAACCTCAACAAATGATTTCTAGGTATCGGGGGCATGCGAAGTTTCGTGGTAATGTCGAAGAATGGTTAAATTCATCTCCATTAGCATTCATTAACACTAATCAGCTTCTAAAATTTTTGTTTTACATCATTCGATAGAAAATACTCACATCTACCTAACGGTTAAATACCACTTCTTTTTCGGTCAAAATTGAGTAAACTGTCTCAGAAATACGACGAAATTTTGATGACCTTATGATAATTACCCAACGCGACTCTATTCTATACAGTTAGTTTTTCTCTTGATAGACACGTGGGACAGAAGCATCGACTCATTTATTTTTAAAAGAGGAAAGAAAAATACGCCTTTTTATTGAATCTTGCTACGTCGAACTATAGCTTACCATTCATCTTCATGGATTATTGATGTCGAATTTTATTTTGTTTTCTATATGTTGCTAAAAAAAGATCAAAGAACTTGAAAAACACTTTTTCTATTATATATATAAGAAATATAGAATTACTTCAAGTAAAAACAATCGCGATTAATTTGTCGAAGTAGGTGTTTTTAAATTACATTCTTGTCAAGAAAAACATTTGTATTAAGTTTCTTTGAACAAAGTAATAGTATGATATCATCAATACATGACGTACAATTCGCATGTTAAGAAAAATTCAGATGCGTATCATATACCAGGAATATTGTATGTACGTGCTAGTTCTTTTACATGAATATAGTTTAAACATGCAGTTTTTTTTCTTATTTTTATTAAATAAAAGATAGATGTGATGCCTATTTTATCTGATTCATTCTCTATAGTCACTATATTTTGGCAGATTTATATAATTTACCTCTCTAGAGAAAAGCACATTCGTGATTCCATCCCGCATTAATTGTTATATTAATCATACATTTTGTAACTAATCGTGACTGTCCGTATTGATAAATACGTTGACTGTGGAACCTGATTGTTAGTCCATGGAAAAATAAAACTTTTTTTAGATCTCTTCTATATAGATGTTGGAACGAGAAAGGAGAGCGGGGTTTATCAAAAGTTGATCTCGAGCGAGCATTTTAACATTATGTGAAAAGAGAAAAAAAAAAATGCGGCCGTTAGATGTTAAGTTTTGATTTTTGTAATAATCAAACTTTCACTTTCGGAGATGAATAAATAAACAACGACAGTTACTGTATGTCCAAAATTCGCATAGACTTTTATTTTTGAAAAACTTACACAAAAACATAAAAATGTTTATTTCTTGTGAAAGTAGCTGGGTACGTTCTGTTTATTATTCTATAAGAATTAAGATATACCTACCATAGTTACATCTCATTTTGTATAAATTATATACATTATTCTTGTTTTTTTCGTTCTTTTCTATTTCTTTAAAAAAAGAAACGTGTCTCACGTGTTCAAACGAAATAATAATATTGTCAAATAATAGTTTGTCTGAATTTTTTCTTTCTTAAAAAATTCAGTTGACGTTATAGCATAAACATAGGAAAGTGATCATTCCCACTTTAATATTCAATTTTGAAATAATGTCGGCAAAATTTCTGAGTAAATTTCTGCGTACTTTAACATTCAGCTTTTTTTTTCTTAAAAATATGAATTTCTTTTTCAATTTATCCTCAAAATCGAACACCTCATGACACTCGATATATTACAGTAGAATTTTGTTTACTATATAACAGGTATATTCTAGCAGTGTTTATATAGAGTCTACAATGTTATATAATATTTCAAATTTTTGTCTTTCGTTCAATTTGTTTTGTTACTTGGGTCTAAAATGTACGAACAGAACGAAAGCAAGCGAGTAATCATTATTCATCATTGCACATGTTCATTTTCATTCAGACAAACTTTGATATATTATCTATTTGAATCTTTGAGTCAAAAGAAATAAAATAGACAAAAGCGTAGATATTTTTTTTCGTTACTTCTGTACTGTCACGCGTAACAAAATAATTCGGACAATTCCGAATTTGATTTTTGCACAAAGGATAATTTATTCAAATGATCAGCGAGGTAATCTCAAAAAAAAATTGTTGTCTGAAAATCAGAAAAGTCAATTCTATATTTACTATCACACAAGTTTGAAAATAGTCGATGATATACGTAAACTTTTAGGGACTTCCTCAAAGTGAAAAAAATTTGTGATCAGTGATAAAAAAAGGCGTGTTTATAATAGTGATTATTTGAGAGATCACATAAAGTCTAAAATTGGCAGGTAACTCCGCTCGGCCACGGTCGACAAATCCTACTATTAGATGTCTCTATGTATGGATATTTGCAACATGTGGACACTTGATCAATATATATGTAAATTATACTCGAATCAGGTTATATATCCAGAATGGGATATACTTTGTGACTCCCGTGAAATATAGGTCATGCTCCAGGGAAGTTCCAATTTTAGTAAAATCTAAGCATGAACGTGTCACTCAAACACTGTTTTGTTTTGAGTTGACGAATCTTTAACTTTTAAAGCTTCTAATTGAAACAATGAGATCTTCTTGAAAACTTGTTATTATTAAAAAAGTAAATACATCACTAATTATTCGTTTTTTTTATTATTTAGTAATGTTAGTCAAACGAGATTAGGTGCAAATGAGTAAAAATGGCCACAGTAGTACCATCACCACCGTCAGATCCATCATCACTTGTAACAGCGGTAGTAAACAGTCGTTTTGTACACCAGATTACCAGTTATATTGGACATATTCAACAAGCTCGTATAATTGACGATTATAAAATTTATTTATATAAACATTATGTTCTTGTTTTAATTGGTTTTATTGTTGCTCTTATTGGTTTGATTAAATTACAAGTTCTTATATATTCATTGTTGAAGTTTATATTTAAAACTATTTACAGCGTATTTTCATCTATTTTTATACGATTTTTTTCATCTTTGTTTTCATTGATAATACCACAACGTATCGATCATGATATTTTACTTCCACTATTTTGGATATGTTCAGTAGTCTCGTATTTCGGGACAAAACTTACACATACAACCGTTTATAATTATGTTGAAAAATATATTATTAAAAAATTCTATCCGAATTATGATCTCAATGATGTGGAGAAGGTTGAACGTGCACAAACATACGTCTGGCAACTAACATTCATAGTTTTCATATTAGTACAATGTTTATTTATTCTAATACCATTAGCATCAACAATATCGAGTCACAAACAGCATAGTCTACAAGAAACACCGTTCACCACAGTCGTAAGTCGCAACAGATTATTTTTTTTCTGAATATGTTACTGTGAAAAATATGTTAGTTTAGTTGAAAATTTGATTATTAGAAGTGTTCTTTACAAGTTTAAAGAAAAACTGGCCTCATTTATCACTGCTTTCATCAGGATATTTCTACTATTTGTGATGATAGTTTAGCTACTCTTTTGAGAGGTAACAATTAAAATCTCACTAGCATACAATCAATAATACCTACTTCAGTTGATATGAACTAAAAAAATCAATTCCATGATAATCAACATTATGCACTTAAAGAAATTACAATTTTTTTATATCATTATTCAAAGTTTAATTGTGCATTTTATTCTTTTGAATTTAGAATTCTATTGTTGATAAAGTATCCCAACAACAACAACCATTACTAAAACAACAAAAATTAGATGAAGATAGAAAGGAAACTGTTTTGAAGAATAAAGTTATCGATAAAGTATCATCGTCATCGAATAATAATATTAATGATAGAAATAATTCGATTGGGATAAAGTATCTTATACAAACATTTAGTATAAATTTCTATAAACGCTTTATCAATACATTTTCTGACGTTACACCAACAACAGAAACTACGCCGCGAAAAACTCAGCCATTGTTATCGGATGAAGAATTGGTAGCTGGTGTTAAACAACTACAGCGTAAAATTAAAGGCACTTTTTCCAAGTTTAAAGGTAATTTACAAGAAAAAATTGATAATAAAAAAGAATCTGATGACCAGGAAGATGGTGATGATGATGTAAACAGTTCGGATGAAGAAGATAAAAATGTCTTAGTAGAAGATGAAAAACAAGCAAACAATTCAAATTCTTCGTTGTTCAATGATTATATTCTTCATTACATCAAAGCACCATTTCAAAAATATAATAGTACAAAAAATAAACAAATATCTGACGAACATTATAAAACTAATGAAGAAGTAGAAGAAGAAGAGAAAATATTGGATAATGACGATAAATTAGCTCGAATACGTGAAGTTGTTAGTCAGGAAGATTTTGATGACAAAGAAAATGTACAAGAATATATTGAAGAAAAATTACAATCTTTAATACAAAATTCAGCCAACGAAGACAGTGAAGATGACAACGATGAAAAAAGAACAACTATTAGTGTAAGCAAAGAAATCTTTTTATGTGACTTAAAATATCTATTCTATCAAAGTTTTGCATAGAATAATGAATACTCGTATTTTGAATATTTTAGGAACATTTAACTAAAACAGTTAAAGATAAACTTCAAAATTTGAAAGAACAAACAAATGATATAGAGGAAAAGGTTACTACAGTTATTCCGCCAGTCACAAAAATTGTTCAAAAACTAGAAGAAAAAATTGGAATAAATGACGAGAGTGATAAATCTGACTCTGAATCTGATGACGATGATGATAGTGATGATGACGATGATGATAAAGAAAAATCATCTATGTTAGATAATGTTAAAGAACAAATAGAAAAAGTAAAAAATAATGTAGAAAATACAGGTGAAACAATAAAAGAAAAATTAAATACTGCAAAAGACCACATTACAAAATCATCTGCAACATCGATAGTTGATAAAGTGAAAGAAAAAATTATACCAGAAAAAAATATAATAGAAAATATTAAAGAAAAAGCGAATGAATTTAAAGAGGATGTCGTCAAAATGAAAGAAAGTGCTCAAGATGTAAAGAAAAATATTGTTAAAACCGTTCAAGAGAAAGTAAAACCACTTGTTCATCCATCAACGAAGAAAGAAGAAACTACACTATCAAATATTGGTCATAAAGTCAAAGAAAAACTAAAAACAGTAAGTGCTAGAACTACATGGATCTTAGTATTTGAATTGAGTCAGAACATTGTGAGAAAGAGTAGTGAGCAAAAATAGAAAGAAAGAATGGGAAATATGATTGAAAGATTCGAGCAGACTTCTTTTTGTAAATTTTTTGACTCATTATGACTTTATTCTAGACTGAAGAAGAGATAACTAAAAAAATTAAAAAATTGACAAAATCTGCCAGAGAAAAAGAAGACGAGTCCATTTTTGACACAGTAAAACATAAAGCAAAATCATTAAAAAATTCATTTACACAAGAAAAACCAAGTATGGCAAAAAGAGTGAAAGAAAAATTGAAAAATGTGATTAAATCAGATAACGGTGATCAAGCAAATAAATCATCGATTCTAGAAAAAGTGAAAGACAAAATTCAATTGCTAAAAACACCAGAAGAAAAGCCAAATATTATTGAAAAAGTAAAAAAGAATGTTAATCAATTATTGAAACCAGATGATGATGATCCATCATTACTCGACAAAATACAAAATAAAGTTAAAATTATTGAAGATCATATTCTTTCTACATCAACAACAGAAGAGCCAACGACAATTGATAAAGCAAAAAAATTTATTAAAAAATCATTGAATATGGCAGAAGAAGAAAAAAATGAGGAGAAAAAATCACTATTTAAACAATTCAGTGATAAAGCATGGGATATATGGCATCAATCAAAACTTGATTTTGAACATTTATTTTTTCCCACAACATTTTCTTATGAACCATTACCGAATACAACTAATTTATATACAGCTTATACTGACTTGAAATGTTTTAATTATACAAAACAACGTTATGGACTATCGAAAAAATCGCATAAAAAATTTTTAAATAAATATCGTCGTTATGTACCCTTTGATATTTATTTGGATTTAATACAAACAAGTGGTCCCGTATGTTATTTAAATTATAAGAATAGTTCATGTGCATTTGGTATAAAACATCAAGGTTTTAAAACAACTTTGAAAAAAATAATTCGTTTTTGGTTTGTTATTTGTCTCTTTATTGGCATTATTGCGTTAGCTTTAACATTTAAACGTAATAGACAAGAACAATATACTTCATATTCATTTACCGAAACAAGACATTATAACGAATCAAATGATAATAATGGAAGTCATAGTGGTGGTAGGATTAACGATGATGAAAGATCTCAACAAAATAAACAATCATCACGAGATACATTTCATGATGCATCTAATGAATTTAATCATCGTGAAATCTTTACTACATCTACAAAAACACCGATACAACGTTCGAATAATAATAATAATATTAATAATGTAGACGAGGAAATAATGAAACATTTAAGATTATGGCTTAAACGAGAACAAGATACAAATTATGGTTATATTATTGATAAATGTAACCATGCATTAAACGATGCTAGTCATCAATTAAAAACAGTTGTAAGTAATTTGTTTATATTCTAAAAAAATTGTGTAAATGATGATACTCGTACCTAGTCAGCATTAGTATTATTCCACATGAGAGTTTTATTCAATCTATTTTTTTATTTTGAATAACTTGAGATTACAAAATGATATTGCTTCTTAGAGTAGCCAATAGTTTTTGATGACTTTATGAGAGATTTTCTTCTTGAAAATGTTAAGATAATTCATTATTTTCTTCTCATTGACATTAAATTTTTTACACTATAAGAGAAAAACAATCCGTTTTTTCATAAACTGATTTAAATGTTGTCCATTCTTAATTTATAATTATGATTATTATCATCATCTATTTATTCATAATCCCAATTAATACTTGATTATATTTGAAACAGAAAAGTAGATGAAATGGTAACAACTTTTAGTTTTTGATAGATTTGATAATCTCACAATCTTTTATTTATTACACTGATTAGAAGAAAACTGACAATATTCATAATCTTTCGTTGTAGAATCTACATTTAATACATCTTTATCAAAATTTGATATTTGTTTATGTAAATGAAGTTAATAGGACATATTAATGCAATGTCAATCATTATATTAAATAAGATATGAATACTATTATGTGTGTGTGTATGTGTGACGGTAAAAAAAATGTGTAACATTTTTTATGTTCTGTCCGTTGAATTAATAGTTTTTTTTTTTTGTTATTCAATCTTGCCTATTGATCATTTTCTATTTTCTTTAACTATCTATGTATGAAAAAATGAGAGAATACACGTTCTATAGATTGCACGGTAAAAAGGTGCAGTATTATTTTCTTCGTTGTTTATTCTAAATATGATGTGAGACGAGAAGGATGATGATATATTGACAACATCATAATAATCATGTTATTTTCTAATATTTCTTTGTTTTTTGTTTGTTAAAAAAGAAAGGAAAATATTCTATAATTATAAAATTAGCATGTTTTCCATATAAACAAAGATTGTTACGTTGTATCATCCAACGGAATACAAAATATTAAAAATATGAATAGAAGTGAAATAATTTTATTGTTTATTGAACGTCTAAAAAAATTATTTTATTATATTTATAATATAGTGCATGTCTATATCGATAAGATAAATTGTAAACTATCAATCTCAAATTGTCATCTTCAATATAAATACATAATTTATCCATTTTTGTTCATTAGTCTAATATTCATTCTTTTATTCATTTTATGGAAAATATGGAATAAATTTATATTTTATTCTAAGAAAAAACCTATATATTCTAATTTAAATCGTAGTAATGAGAGTTCTCAGTTAATAAATAACATTCCTGTGTTGAATAATCTTTTTATATGGTTGATAAATACAGAATTTTTAAAACAACGTTTGCAATATGAACTACTTCAATCATTGAATAATAGATATTTTAATGTAGCAGTTGATGATAAAAATACGCAGGTAAATGTCATTGTTTAACGGTTAAATATTGTTTTATTTTTTATTTTTTTTTAAATTTTAAACTCGATTAAAAGAAATATTGAGTTCATGGTTGAATGGAAATATTTTAAATCCTTAATTAGAATTTTTTGTCATCTACATATATTTTTTCTTACATTATGTAAACGATCTAAAAGAAACTTTCAGGATACATATATATTCAAGTGAAAAGTATATATGGATAAAAAAATTTAAGCGAGTTTGATCAAACATCCAAAATATTAGCTGTCACTGGTTAATAGATTTCTCCAATACGAAAATGAATTTCAAAAGTTGTCTACATTAATTTGTACATCATTCTTGGGGATTTCAAACAAAAAATTTTTATTAGAATGCATTGGACCGTTGCAAAGAAAAATGAAAAATGTACCGTATCAAACAAACATTATTAACGAGAAAAGTAGCTGTTCATCCATCATTACTACGTTTTAAAGTTTTTAGTAAAATGGTCATTTTGACAAGTTTTTCTCAAAGCGTCGTCTAGAATTCTATCACGTTTTCTTTCGACAAATCATCTTAAATTCTTACAAAAACGTTAGTGAAAATGGAAAATAATAGAATTTTAAAGTAAAGATCGTAGATGTATCGAGATTTCGAGTTTTGGTAGAGAAAAAAGAGTTCATTTGTTTGAAGATTCCTAAATAAACTACAGGTTTATGTTTCTATATTTGTTAATATCTTGTTTGAAAAACTTTGCTTCAATCATTTGAAATTTGGAGACGATTAAGCATCGATATGATAATATTATAAATGACGAGCGAAAGGATCTATTTCTGAAGTTTGATGTTTCACTATACTTCGCGTATTCATTTATGATGAAGGAGTGATTTTCAAAAACATTTTTATCGTGAAAAATAGTTTTTTCTCTTAAGTTTCAATGTTAAACTAGAAAATATTTTCGTTTAAAAGTATGAGGAAAAGATTTAATTCATATTTTTGAGTTTTCTTTGTAATCTTTCGAAATATGATTAGAAAGAACAATGTCTATACTACTTGGCAGAAAAAGACAAGAACATTTCAACAGAAAAACTAGTTTCAAGGTATATCATACGTGTGAAACAATAGCTCATCATTTTGAGTCAATTATGGTATTCGATGATGTTTCGATATCCAGGTCTTCCTATACGGTTATTAGATTGAAAAAAACAACCATCGATTTAAAAACATCTTAACGATGAACGAACGATTGATGTGTAAATTACCCTTTTCATTTGCAAGTCTTATTCTAATTTGTACTCATTTTTGAAACAACATTATTTTAATGTCAAAAAAAGTACGTTTTTACTCGAAACTCTTTTGCATTTTAGCAACAGTTGACGTTTGAAACATTACAGTTTTCAAATGCTAAAATAACGAATGTTTCGAAAGAAGACTCAGAACCAACATCATCTAAAGAAATGATTGTAAGTGTGTTGAATCTACTAGTATTCGAAATTAACGCTAATAACGTTTAAGACGATAAAATGTTGGCTTGAATTGGAGAAACTTGTCATCAATGTCCTTCACAAAGACCGGCGATATACACTTGAATCACCAAAGTTAACGGGTCAGGTTAGTATCGAAAATTTAATTACTTTTTGTCGCTTTCATCTTCACTGGTTAATGTTCTTTGTAGCTTATTCTTGCTCTTACTGTGCATTCTCGTCAATATTCAATCGATGCTGTATTAAAAGAATTACAAACAAATTTAAAAATTGTTAAGCCAAATAATGTAAATACTAAGTGTATAATAAATAAATATTTTACTCTGTTCATTGGTTATTATAGAATGTCACGTTGAATGAAAGAAATTCGACTGAACGTACAGTTCTAGTTTGTATTCATGAAGCAACTGCACGATGTACATTTCAAATATCGGATAACGATGTTGTAACAACACCATTATCTACATCATCGGTGTCAGATAAAGATAAGGTATATATTATGGGTTAATGTTTTATGTGCACACCGTATACATTCTATTTTGTAATGTTACAGTCTTACTCAGCATTATCTCCATTGGATAATTCAGATAGTTCCGTCTGTGACAAATCAATAACTACAAGTATTTCTGAAACACAATCGAAAATTATCGATAAAGATAGATGCAATAATACACCAAAAATTGTTCCCAAGGATCCTGATTTCAATTATAAAAAATCGACTACAACAAAACAACTACAACGGAATGACAGTATATCACAAAAGAAACTACTTGTACGAATTGGAAAAGCCAGTAATCTACATGGTAATTCTATATTGAAGTTTCAGCGTTTTCTGTTTGATTGAGATGAAAATCATTTGTTTCGTTTAAAACAATGACTAGGAAAAGATAGACAAAATAATGTTTTCTATTGAATTTACTCTTTTAAGCGTATATAAACTTAAATGAATAAGATAAAGAGTTAATAAATCACTTTTACAGTGCAACTGATTTATAGATGCTAACGAACTTTATTGTACAATGGAATTAAATCATCCAAAGCAAATCCATAAAACATTGGTCGAAAAAGCACCAAATCCAAAATGGAATGAAAAATTTTACTTGTAAGTAAAATATAAAACAAATCTTTTTGTTATACTACGTTTTTTATTTTTAGTGATTGTGATGAAAAAAGTAATGAAATTACAATACGTATTATTGATCGAAAAGGGAAGAAAGTGTTGCTCGGTGAGTAGTATGTGTATGAATGATGTAGAAGTTCATTTTCCAAAAATATATTGGATTATTTAGAACATCTCTATGCTGAGATCGCCATACCATTTCATTATGTAACAAGTATGGTTTATAAACAAGATGTTATAATTAATCCAAATCGTCCAAATAGTATCATTCGAGTCGAAGTAAGATAAACATTAATTTTTCTCTTCTAGTAATTATAGTTCAAATGATAAAAAAAAAAAGTTGAGCTAGCTCGATGAAAAACTATTCATTTCTTGTTGCTTATGTTCGTTTTTGTTTGATCATGTATCGAACTATACAGATTACCAGACATTAGGACGCAACGATACCATCACACTCACGTGTAGTATTTATAAAAGACGTCAAAATTCACCAGTCTGAGATCATCTAGGTCGATAGAGCACATCAGACAACTCTACACCACCAATACCCAGATGGATGGCTATTTTCACCCGCTACTCCTCTCCAGAGTATTTAGGACACTGAATTACGTATAACAACGTGTGTACATTAATTACATATTCACAGCATACGCTCCTGATATACTATACTTCGATGGGAGGGATATCACTCAAAATGGTAACTTAAACTTTTTTTTATCTATAGTAATCCCTAGGATAAATCTTGAAATATGAATTTAAAGCTACTGATTACATATGTCACATCTGTGAATTATGAAAATGATTTGATTTATTCAGCGAGAAAATTTTTTTTTGCCAGAAATCTGATCAAGCAAGATTAGCAAGCGATGTAAATCATAATTAAAATTCTGTTAGTTTTGATGAAGCAGAGTGAGAGATGAATGACAAAACATAACGGTTTTTAGCATTTTAGTATGTTCTAAGAGTTTGATCGACGACTTTTGGCACGGTTTTCCTAAATATTTGTTGTTTATAATTGCAAAACTTTAAATAGTTGCATGTATCAACATGACAAACAGTTTTAATCAGAAGTATTATATAATGAATAATAATGGACGTTAAAATTATAACCATATACATGTATGTATTAGTAATATAATGTTGCTCACACATTATATCATAACAACAACGTTTTCATAAATAAACTAACGTTGAAAAGCTAAACACAAGAAGTCAACAGAAAATGAATGAAAACGGGAAACATCGAGCCATTGTGAAACTTCAATTAATTGTTGCACAAAATATAGAGAAGAGCAACGACGTTGCGTTTTCCAGTTCACCTGAAAAAATCAAGTTTGTGTGTTAGAGGGGAAAATATATACAACATAACAGCAAAACAGGCAAAATGGGATAAGCAATAGTAAACAGAATATCTTGCAAAAAGTGTTTGTGGCCTCTTCAGCGGTTTTTCGTTAAAATAGTGTAAGCTTCTCAAAGCTCATATTATAATTGTTTTTATCTATCAAGTTTTTTGTTCAACTAACTGAAACGAAAAATAGATAAGCACTCTCCGTTGGAATTAATGAAGCAAAATTCATTCCTGCACAATAAAAAAATTTCTGTTTGCTTTACAAAAAAATTTTTCTCGCTAAATAAATCATTTCATACTTCAGAGATGTGATATACGTAATCAGTAGCTTTAAATTCATATTTCAAGATTTATTCTAGGGATTAGTATAGATAAAAAAAATTTAACTTACCTTTTTGAGTGATATTTACGTACTCAAAGCAATAAAACGGTTACATTCTGAAATAGTAGAACGATTTGACGAGCATTCTCTTTTGACGTATATTCGTTTACATGATAAAAGATAAATTAATGATAAATATGTATTAAGACGTATTCTGAAGTCTTAATACCGTTACGTTCTAATGTCGTGTAAAGCATTGTACGCCTTTATAACATTCTTACTCTATAATCATTGTGCCCTAAAGTCGATATATTCTATTTGTTGATATACGTCGATCAGTTATATTTTAATATAAATAAGCGAATAATTGATACCGTTTTTATCATTTTATAACGAAACGTCTCTAATAAAATGATAAAAACGGTGTCAATTATTCTCTTATTTATATTTAAATGTTTTCATCGTATAAACAAACGAAAGTCTACAGTTATATTTTATTTTTAATTTAATAACGTGGTTAGTTATGAATATTTTATTATTAATCTATATTAAAAAGAAACGGGTCTCAAGTATCACATGTTTTTTCTTCTTCAAATATTTAATAAGTTTAATAATAGAATATAATACCCATGACAAATATTGTAGTTAAATCGAACTAAAATTTCGTATTCAATTTTGATAATTATGCTATGTCATATTAAAAGTGCAGCTACAATTAATTGAATTTTATCTTAATTCCATAAGGAAAAGTGTAAGAGGAAATTATAAGATTTTACGATAGAATCTGATAATTGTAAAGAACCATTTTATTTTTTCTAAAAGGATTAAACTGTAATATAATTTAGAGTATACTGGAGATGCATGACTTTTTCTTTCGTTCTGTCATTGTAAACAACTTTTTCAATTGGTAATTTTCTATTGCTCATCTGTTGTCATGAATGAAAGACTGATTCACTGCAGTGAGTTGGCTGAATGAATGAATCATTTTATCGAAGTAGATTAAATATAGGATTATAATAGATCATCTTAGATTTTTTTCTCTTATCGTTGACCTCTATTCTCTTCTACCTACAACGAAATAACTGACATATACGACTACTAAAAATTTCGACATATTTTTTTCATTAATATTACTCGTATGACATAAAATTATAAATTATCGCTCACTCGTGTAAATATCAGAAGCTTTTATTCGTATTTTTATCATGTCTTCAAAATAAAGAGAAATAATATGTGATGCGTTTCTGATGATATTACAAAACAAAAGACTATAAGTAGGTTATCATAAGAACAGTAAAAGAAAAATAACCATAGCGAAATCATACATATTTTTAATCGATATGTCAAAAAAAGTTTTTGCCTCTCACTCATATTTGCAAAGTAAAAAAGAGTCAATATCATCATATGCAGGTGAATAAGATGAAGTGTAAGTGACTATACAAATTACGTTTTATATGAATTATTAAAGTAAAATTTTGCTCAAAATGGTTTATAGTCGAAGTGAAACAAATTTAACAAATATATTTATTAATTTATGTACAAGTTCAAATGTAATTAAATCAAAAAATTTAAAACAAAATTATCAACGACGCTATCCACCATTAAAACCACTCACCATTCTACGTTCAAATTCATGTTCAGATCTAATCACTGACAAACAACGAGACTCAAGTCAAAGTTTAACTGACAATATTAAACATAAGAAATTATCATTTGACAATCATTTATCGTATGAAAATCAAATAAATAATAGCTCGACAATAGACATTGATAAAGAGTCTATGCCAGGTCAATCTTTAATTAGTAATGATTTTACATTATCAGATTCTTCACAGCAAAAATATTCTTTTTCGATTACAACAGCGTCTCAGTCTCCATCATCCCCGATAATCTCAAGCGATTTCTCATTCAGGAAAAGATCTTTCCCTGATATTAATGATGCAGTAGCGTCACTTTCTATACCTCATGATCATATTGATACAACGAGTCAGTTATCACACGAAACAAAATCTACACAAATTAAAAACGACGATTATATATTTCGTTTACAACATCGATATAAATCACGAGAACATTTAAGAAAAGCATTTCTTTCGTAATTAACGTTGGCTTTTTACTTTTTTTAAATTACAAAGTGACATGAACTCAACCATACGAAAAATTTAAATGGAGAAAAATGTAAAGATGTTAAACTAAGTTTTCAATCTAATCGTGTATCTGTGGTCGATTAATTAAGGTTTAAAGAAACACGTTTGTAGATTAGTTTCTGTCATGAGAAAATCGAGAAACGGTTGTCCATTTAAAAAAGAAGAATCCATGGCCATCTTATGAATAGCTTTTAAATAGTGAAAGCTAGACAACTGGTTCTTCTGATATGAAAGGAGGAGATTATGGAGCACCTTCTTACAAGCGAAAACCTTTTTAGAGATTTTTCAACAACTTTTGTTTTTTGCAGTATTTGTTTCTGAAAAAAGTTCAAAAACCTAGTGAAAACCTATATTACGTGAATTAACACTAGAACGCCCGTAGCGGTCATTTTGATCATTTTGTGATTTTTATCCTTAATAAACCAAACTGCATACAATTTATTTGAAAATAAATTATGTCATAACTTTTAATTTGTCCCACAAAAACTATTTTTTGCACAATTTTTAATTCATTTTTGAATTCAGAACCATTTTTAAGTATAAAATTTTTAAAAAAAACAGTAACGGTCAAAATGACCGCTTTGGGCGTTCCAGGTCATGAAAATTTTTGGGCGTTCTAGTGTTAATCCATTTTTGCCTATGTAAAATTAGAAAATTCATAACTCAGTCAAAACCGATCCAGAGTATCAAGATATACTCTGTTTTATCTCGTCAATATGATTCTGTGATTAAGAATAGCATAAAATATTCTCTTCCTTCGGAAGGTTTCTAGAAAACCTTTTCACAACCTACGTATTTTATATTGGTTTTTAAAAGTTCTGTTGAATTTCATGAAATGGTGCAGATAAAAGAGAGTATATCTTGATATTCTAGGTAATCTGGATTGGTTTTGACTAAGTTATGAACTTTCTAATTTTACGTGAAAATAGGCAAAAATGGATTAATTCACCTAATATAGATTTTCACTAGGTTTTTGAATTCTTTTCGGAAAACAAATGCTGCCACGAGTCTCAGTGTGGCTGATAACCTATGTTTGCGTTCATTTTCTGGATTACCACACCTAAGGGAATATCGATCATGAGGCTTCCAGTAAATCCGATGCCACACCTCAACCACGAAAACTTAAGAGGTCGCTTAAACCCTATTTTGAAGAGCAAACTTTTTTCTATCTACTGATGTAAAAAATCCACTAGTTTGGTATTTTAAATTTTTCCGTTATGCACGAGTTTCCCAGAAATGCATTGAAAAGCCCGTTGTTGAAAAATTTCTAAAAAGGTTTCCTCTTATAAAAAGGTGCTCCATAATCTCCTCTTTCCATATCAGAAAAAACAGTTGTCTAGCTTTCACCATTCAAAGGTTATTCATGAAATGGCCATGGATTATTCTTTTTAAAAAAACACTGACTGAAAGCTTCTTAAAAAAATTCTGTTTGTTGAAGTTTCATCGAATCACTATATGTATGATTATGTAATATAACGCATACCACTCTTATTTGTAAAGTAACGAGAATTATGATTAACCAAGAATAAAAAATTCAATCCGATTGATTAACTTTTCAAAATAGATACCTGTTCACTAATTACTAAAAGTGCTTGAAACTGATTTTAACGTTCTGTTTCCATAAAGTAGCGTATGTCAGAACTGAAAAACTGGCCTAGAATAATTGTCCGAAAAACAATATTTATAAGAGATTGTAATAATGTGTGTAAAAATTATGCCTGAATTCAATTTTGTAGGAGTAATTAACAAGTGATTATATGGATAAAACGAATTTCGAGAAATAATTAATCACAGTCAATTGAACTTTTGAGTATTTGATGTCTTGTCATAAACAATATACAAAAAAGCTTGTCAGCGTTGCTTCTACGAAGCAAAAGTGTGAAAACTTCCTATTGAACTGTTGGGCTATAGCATAGAACCTGTAATAATATATTGTAATAATTTTAACAACATCAGATCAATAATACACTGTCTGTTACTGGTCCATTCAGTAGTTGTAAATACACATTTCGGTAGCTAACTCCGAAAGTTTACAGCTACTAAAAATTGTGTTTACAGCCACTGGAATGGTGTTCACAGCTACTAAAATGTGTGTTTACAGCTACTGACAAAAAACCATCTGCAAACCATAAAAATTCTCGTATATAAACTTTATACTTCAAACTTCCTTTTCCTTCGGAAAATGAACAAGTCCTAGGAAGTTTTCACGAAAAGACAACAAATTTATCCATTTTTCATTAGTTTCCAATAGCGCATCCGTAGTCCATAAGAAAAGATAGCAGAGAAAGTAACTAGGCATGCATCAATATCAATATTTTATTGAACTATCGAAAATTGATAATATTGATTTCGATAATATTGGAATCAATATTATTGATGGCAATATTATCGATCCTTTATTTTGATATTATCGAAGATGTATTATGTTACAAAAAAAAAATTCTCTATAAGCGATATGGATTACTAGACCTAACCAGAATGATGGCGCTAGCATACAGTCGGTGTCTACTAACCACCGTGCCACTGAATTTCTTTATATCTGATTACATAGAAACCCGGAAAACAAAATCTATCACTTTACTTAGCTTGAGAACCAACAATTTGAAAGAGCTATCTCTTTCTTGTACTTTCTCTCACAAATTTTTTTCTCACGTTTCCTCATCGATAAAATATCGAAGTTCAATATTATCGATTTCGATATTATCGAGATCAATAATATCGACTTTCGATACTGCTGCTTTTGATAGTATCCAATAGTAACGCCTCAAGTAAAATTCGGTTTTAGAATATATTTATGTTTAAATTAACTTTCTAGCTTTGAGTACGCAAAATAATTTATAGTCATCTTGATTTTTTCCTTTTTGTGGAAAAAGGTATATAGTAGAACTATTAGTTGTTAATTAATAGTTTTTGATGAAAGACGTATCATGATTATTTTGTTATTGCGTTGTCAGCATAATAAACATTATTAACAAAATACCAAATGTAAGTTTTTCTTTATATTGCTCGATGATGACCACTTCTCGATCAAGAAAGTTTTATTACTTTATTCTAATCGCGAATTATATTTCATCTTGTTACTTGTACTGAAAGCTGCACATCGAAATAGGCTAGACGCTAAAATTAAGCGAAACACTCTAGAATAAATGTAAAAATGAAAATAAGTTAGCATCTAACTCATTTCAATCAAAGTCTTGACAAATGATGTAGAAACTGGAAGCCGAACACTTCTGTGAGTTATAATGTTAATTGCAAAAGTGTCTGCCTTTGTGTATTCATCAACGTTGGGGTAGTCATTGAGTAGCATGAAAAAAAGTATATCAGACACTTTCTTGACTGCAGTTGGCGTTTATGAACTGTTGGTTTATTGCACGATGGTATTTGATGAAGATTTGTCGTTGTATGGTATTGCTACTATACCGTTGTTCGTTCACATTTTAGCAGAAACTGACTCCACTGAGAATCACAGAATACATGGATAGTTTTATTTTAAATAAAAGTAAACTAATTTGCTGGTTTCAACGTGATGTATGAAAGGTTTGAGTAATTTATAGATTGAACACAAACATGAAACAGAAAGAAATTTTATAAAAACTTGAAGAGAATCTTTTGAGATCGAGACATTATTTAATTAATAGAGTCAATAGGAAGAATTAAAGATGTTTAGTAGTACAGTCTCGACTATAAAAATTTAAACAAAACACTTATATCTTTTATTTTAGTTTTCTAGAGTGACGGAAGACGAAGCATTGGCAGGTAAGTGGATGATCGTTGAATTATTATACACGCTTTGTTTTGCTTTATTGCTGACAGCTTCATTTAACAACGGGAATTATATTTATTTTTAAACACATTTAGCTAAAAACGGATATGATATTGAAAGTATTGATGACAGCCAATATGGGAATTCGAGTTTTGAACGAGGTATTTACGCTTTTATTTGTTCACGAGGGAAGCAGTGCATCATGTATTTTCCCTTTTCATTCTCACTGCGTGAAATGCCCTGGAGTATTTATTAATTCGCTTTCTTGTCCATTTTCTTGAGAGACTTCTGTCACTTATCATTTCAATCTTTAAAATTTTTTGTAGATTCTTCTTTATGATTTATAACGTACCTTATATATAACACAGAAGTTAGCAAACAGATTCGTGATTATATTGCCTATAAATTTTGACACTGCAGTCGAGTTTCGAGCTGATTCATACTCTGATTCATCCCTGATAAAACTGCATAGCTAATTCAACTTTTCAGACCGAGCGAACTGTCGACTAGTGTTGAAGACTCTTCATTTCAGACAAGCGATTCTTCAATGAAGAGTCGCTTGTCTGAAATATCAAAAGATAAAAATCTTTCAAAAAAAAGTTGAACAAGAAAGTAAGTGAGTGTTACTTTTCACCAGAGAATTTGTTTTCTTCTTTCTTATCCTGTATTTCAATAATTCAATTATCTATTGCAAAATAATTAATCCAGAGCTGGGCAAGTCAGAAGTTTTGCAAGTCACAAGTGAAGTCAAGTCACAAAAAAACATTTCAGATCAAGTCAAGTCGAGATCAGAAAAATTTTTGCCTTCCAAGTCAAGTCAGGTCTGGTTAAAATTAGGCAGAACACAAAAATTTGCTAGCACCTTTTGGGTGAGAGTTTTTATAGCCTCAGACACTCACTGTCATGGTAGAAAAAGTCTAATTTAAATGAAAATCTTTTACTAGAAATGACTTGACTTGAAAAAAATTCCTCAAGTCAAGCCAAACACCCAGAAAATTTTGGACCAAGTCAAGTCAAGTGTGACTTGACTTGCCCAGCTCTGAATTAATCGTCATGTGACACTTTAGTGGAATAGGTATAACTTGTTCTACTCAAAACACATGTGATGAATAAATGAATGGTCATTTGTTACTTATGTTCAATGGCAAATGTTTGAGAAGAGCTTCTGTGAGATAAACAATAGTTGATAATATATATACATTCCCGCTAAAAATAATTAGTCTTTATCAATTGCTTCATCTTGCAGAACTTATGGTAAATATAATTTATGCTGCGCCTACAAAAATCCAATGCTTCGAACAGTTTTACAGCGCAAAGAAAACTTCATATCTATTACAGCTCAAATTAAGCTATAGCTCTTTACTAAAATAATTTATAAAATCTAAAGTATTGAGATCCTGTAAATAAGTACTCGGTGATCTATTGAACATGTAATGCATAATCAACCGCCACACTGCGTAATACAGTGTAAAAAGTTAAAATAAGCGGTCAGTCAATGGATGGCCATGTATACCATTATCGCTGACGTTTCTATGCTTTCTATTGAATACAAATATCGTCTGGTTATCTTCACAAACCTTTGCGAGTGCTCTAAATTTCTCTGATTGACATTTTATTCATTCGACTTTTCAATCATTACGCAACATGTTTGGTATCTAGTTTATGAAATCCGTTGTTCATTTGTTTATTTTTCATGTTTAGAAGTCAGTAAACATGACGATGAATATTTACAACGAACATTCGACGATAGTGCGTTCGATTCAAGTACACTCCCTCATCGTAGCACACGTAAAAATGATAATTTCAATGGGATTTCTTCTTTAAATGAAGTAGGCATATTTGTTACCGGAAAATATCTTTTCTACCATTGATATTTTTTTTCTTTAACAGAGTCGTGATTATTCATTTACATTACCACGTAATACAACAACACGATTAAAAAAGTCACTAATACTGAGTGACACAAGCAGCGATCAACAACGTCCATCAAAATCAAAATCAAAATCATTCATGAGTTCATTAAAACATTTAGCATTACCGAAAAGAAAAAAAGATCGACATCCTAGTACAAGTTCACCAAACAGCAGCGTCAATAATTTACCACTATCATCCGAGCCGGTCTCACCGTACACTCTTTCAGAAGGTAAACCAAAATATGAATAGACAATTTAGAGCTAAGAAGAAAGAATAAGATATCTTAAGTTTTCATCGCAATCGCTAGCGAACATAAAAAACATTCATTGTTTTAGTCCTACCTGGTCCCAGACCACGTAAGTATTCTTTATCACTGCGTTTTATGCTAACAGCTCCAGGTGCATAAAAGTAAAGACGGCTAATGCGCATGAATGAAAGATTGTTTGAGTCTAAAGGGTTGGTCAGAATTACTGAAACGATTACTGATAGAGTTACTGAAACGTTCGTTTCAGTAATTCTCGACCCATCCTTTATTGTTATTGGTGCTTGGCTACTAATGTATTTCTAAGAATTATTTGTATGAATTTGACCTGATTCTTTAGAGCACATGATACCATTGATGAATTTGAATTTAAGCGTATTCGTTGAATAAATTTCATTAGAATTAACTTTACAAACTCTTTATAGGTTTTCACTCTTTTTTTGGTTTTTAAAGCATATATTAAATTTATTATTTTCACTCGTTTTTGCTCTTTGGTCTTGATAGATTATCTTGTATTATTTATCTTTGAATAGTTAGTTTCTTTTATCTGTTCAAGTGAGAGGACAGAAAACACTTTATTCATGAGTATCCCACGATATGCCAAATTACAGTTCATATCTTGATGATACTTTTAGAAGTTCTATTTTCACCCCAAAAAAACGATTCAAGCATACGTCGTAGTCGATCGATTTCTCAATCAGTTAAAAATTTGTTTAAACAAAAACCGAATGAACAGAAATCGAATTCATCAAAAATAACTGTTGAACAAGAAAACAGTATGTAATGCTTTCTAACTCATATTTCTTGATGGTTCATAAACTTCTATACTGAAAAAAAAAAATCTTATTCATTTTTTTTCTCTTCCAGGAAACACAATGCCCAGTGAAAAAGGTCAGATGAAATCTCCATCTTCATCTATGAAATTATCCAAAAAACTCTCGTTTTTAAAACGTCGTTCGAAACAAAAACAATCAAGCAGCTCGACCAATTCGTTAAGTAATTATGATATATCGAAGTAAATAAGAGCAATTATTTTATATAGTAACGAATTTTAAAAATCATTTTTGACTTTTAGATCTGAATCTGTACAAAATACACCGATTCGTACAAATGCTGGTAGTTCCCTACTTATTCGATCGAGTGCTCAATAATACTCTGAAGCAAACCGATACATATATGATTTATTCTAAAAAATTTTGTTCATTTATAAATTTTCCTTTTTTTTTTAAAGTATATATCTTTCTTTCTCACATGTAATTGTAATTCGCTATATTTTGATATCGCAGCACATCTTGATCGTTGATTAGTTTTACTATTTTTGTTTTTTGCGTACATGTGTGTTTTTTCTTTCTCGTTGAGTACTCGAACAAAAAAGTATGTTATAATGAACAAAGTTATCTATTTACTATTATTATTATTATTATTTCATAGAGTAAATATCAGAAAACTCTATAACATTTGGAAAGAAGATCTTGTTTTTTATTTTTTCTTCTTTTGATTTTCATTCTCGTTGAACGTGTATTTTTTGTGTTTGCTTTAGAATATCTTTGGTTGTTGCTGCTTTGTTTTCTTTTTTAATAATCGGATATGCTATAGATATTTTACATATCTATAGATGTATTTTAAGAAAAAAATAGCAAGAAAGTTTTTAAAAAATTAAGCAAATATTGATTTTGTAGTGACATTCTTCTCAATATAGCATATGAATGTTATCTCACTTTAGGTTGTTAGTTACTCCTGAATAATATTATTAATTTCATCGTAGAGTTTCTGATGATAATTGATTGAAAAGTGGAGATCTCATTATCCTAAGTTTTGCCATTGTTCATCAGATTTTTTGGAATTTTCTTGTTCTGCTGAACATTTTCATCAATACAATAAATGTGATGACTATTTTGTAAGTAATTGATCTGATAGACTGTAAGAAACTGAGAACTGTTATATGTAGTTAGTTTAGGACATTCACAACGAATGAGTTGCCTGTCAAAATAATTGACGATAGAAAGTCTTTTAAATTCCGATTGACTGTCAAATATTAGTGTACGCACATAAATGTTTCACTTCTTTAACACTAGAACGCCCGTAGCGGTCATTTTGACCGTTTTTTGATTTTTAGCCCTAATGAAACAAACTGCACTTAAAAATAAATTATGTCATAACTTTTAATGTGTCCCACAAAAATCAGTTTTTGCAGAATTTTTAATTCATTTTTGAGTTCAGAACCGTTTTTAATTATAAAATTAAAAATGAAAACAGTAATGGTCAAAATGACCGCTTTGGGCGTTCTAGGTCATGAAAATTTCCGGGCGTTCTAGTGTTAATAAAAAATAACTGTCTGCTAGAAAAATCTTCGCAAGTGCACTGAAAACGGCTTCATTAGTTTAACAGGTTAACAGAACATTCATAATTGACCATTTCTCGTTTAACGAGAATTTTGACGATAAAGGTGTTTGAAAAATTATTAAAAAATCGTATATTCAATGACTTTGAAACATCCCAAAAATGAACAACATCAGTTATTCTCAGTATTGTTTGTAACAACAACCAGGAACAATAGACCAGATGTGCTGCATTAATATTAAAAAGTCGTATTTGGAAGACGTATCGCAATAATATGATAATGAATCAGCTGATAGAGTCTGTAAATGCTGTATGTTGGGTGCTAAATTGGAGGTTAACTGTTCAAAAAAAGTTAAAAATAAATGAATGAATTTGAGAATCGTACAATAAAGAAGAAAATAATAGTATAAAAAGATGTTCTTACTGATTTTTTATTGTATAAAAGACTCTGATTTATCAAATTCTATTATTCTACTTTCTGAAAAGTTGTTCCACACGGCTCCTTTCTCGCCTTTGAACAGTACAGTCACCTTTTGGTCTTTCTTCTTTTTGTTCATTTCGAGTTACTATGCTAAGTCTAACGTGCTACTTCAGTGTAGCTTGTTCAGTAAAATGTAAATGTTATAAATAGTAATATGATTATGTGGCACTTATCCGTGTAAGGTGTCATCTATAGATATTTACTTCATAGATTTATGAAACAGATAATAGAATGTCTATGAGTTGTAGATGAAACAACTGAAATTAGTTTTATCATAGTTTTTTAATTATTTCACTATGAACTTCAAAAGTTGAATATATTCTCAAAAATTTTGTCGTTTTTTTGTAAGATAATTATTTATGTGATACTGTACAGTATGTATATGGTTTTGCTTGATGCATCACAAATTGTGCAGTAGAGTCAATCAACTAATTTACAGAGCATATTATCAGCATACTATATAACAAAGTGATAATAGTTAGCCTAAAAATTTTATCATGAAGAATTAGAAACAAGATATCTACTGTTTTTGATCATTTTGTAGTACTCATTACACCTTAACATATACAAAAAATACATTTGAATCAGAGGTACAACCGGTATACCGGTACCGGTACGAATTATAACGCCGACCGGTATACCGGCATTAGTATGAAGTATAATCGGTCGGCCGATACTGCTGGTATTTTGCGGTATAATACGATTTTTTCCAAAAAATATCGTGTAAATTCAGTTCATCTGTGACATATTTCTTCCACTAAAATTTCATTCCAATTACTAAAGCTTTCTCGACTTATATAAACTTCTTAATTTAAAAGATTGAATTGGATTGCTGTTTTCGTAAAAAAAAGCGTGTGAAAAATCAGCTATACATAATCAAAGTGAAAAGATTAATCTATTCCTTTGATAACATAAAATAAAGTTCACAGTAAAGAAAAACAAGGAAAAAGTATTTGTATTTAGGCAAAATATGATCAAGATAAGCAGGTAACGACCGGTACCGGTACAAAGTTTGTATACCGGTGACCGGTACCGGTTACACCTCTGATTTGAATCACGGTTGAATCATCTTTCTTCCAGATATCGACGATTAAGTAAGTACAGTTGTTTAAAAACAAGTAAGTAAGTAACTCAAAAGAGAAAAGTGTATGAAAGAGAAAAAACGGTTTTTTTTTTCTAATGAAAACCAATAAGTCTCCTTTCGGTTTATTCAATCGACTTAATATAGAAATAATTAGTTTTAAAATTTTTTAGTGACTGTTGTTTTTTTGTCTATATTTATCTTGACGTAATCATAGTCGTTTTAGACATCATCTCAACATTTACTCTTATGTTTGTAATAATAGGAAAAATAGTATAATTAAAAACGATGAGTTTTTCCCACATGTTTTTAAAGAAATTTTACAGTTAACTCTTAACATATGAGTGAATAAGAATTCAAACGAGTGCCTTTTATCAAAGGCTCTTAACTATATAAAATTTTTTTTGCAAAATTTTAGTTGAACAAAAAAATAATGAATAAAACGAAAATAGGTATGCCTGAAGAAGTTGACATTTTTTTTAGGCAAACAAAAAAACGAAAAAAAAAGAGTATAAAGTTTTTTATTTAAATTTTAAAATTCGATATATTTTATATATGGGTACATCAAAATTTTTTGGAGTGAAAAGAAAAAGCTCTAAAATGTTGTTGTACGAAATAAAACTATGCTTCTCAAGGCTTCATTTTTTCTATGCACTTATATCAATTGGCATCAAACCAATTCAGTTTGAATAGTTTTTTCTTCAAATTTTAACGACCGAATGTCAGGATTTTTTAGATATTTTTAATTCTTGAAATCTGAATATGTGTACACTGGAATGTATCTGAGATCAGATGAATATGCACTATCGTACATCAAATGTCTGTTCCATTGTCATCATATTTTTTCAGTACTTTAACGGGAAGTTATCTCTTATAATTCATCAATTAGTACTTCAATTCTTAATTTTTGTTTTTATACCTGCACATATAATAACACATAGTCGAAAAAAAAAATAAGTAACATCGAGATTAAAAATGACAAAATAGTAAGAATTTAATTTATTGTGTTATCTAATGTCAGTAACGTAAATAAAACTGGCAAATAACGCTGATACTGTTCCCATACGGTATTCTGAAATGTTAGTTTTGGTTCGGATTTAAAATGTCGGTATAAACATAAAAATTCCACAACACCCATTTTATCTTCTAAATATGTTCTTAACGTATTTATTTTTTGTATCCGATTTTCTTTTTGTTTCGCTACTGCCATCAATATAAACGTTACACTTTCATCCCAAATAGGTTCTTCGTCATGTTTTTGAATTAATGATGACGAATCTTTAATAACAAGAAAATGATTCGTCATATCATTGTTCATAGTGGCGGTTGTGGTCGTCGACATTTTTAACAAACCGTTTAATAATGGTGTTCGATCATTGATGTTTGATGTTGCTATTTTTATTACTGAATCATCTTTACTGTTACTATTACAATCATTCGTTGAGTAGAGCGATGATGGAGGTGACACAGAAGATGATAGACTCTGTTGATCATCATCGGTATTATTTAAACATAAATTTAATGGTTGTTCGATAGATGGAGGAGAACTATGTCGTTTACGTTTTATCAGATGTTTTTGTAAGAGAATCCCTTTTTCTTCAAATTGTGTAGCAGATGGTATTGTGAGAGAGAGTAATGATGATTTGTTATCTATTGTTGTTGGTGGTAGTGGAAGTATATCTTTAATTTTTCCTTTTTTAATTGAACCTAATTGAAATTTTCCTTGTATACCAGCACGTGACATACAATTTTGTAATAATTGATCCAGACGATGTTTTCCAGCTGCCATTGTTTTGTACCTGTCAAAAAAAAAAATATATATAAAATAAATAAGAAATTGTTTTGCTAATCTTACATTTACTTACCAAACTCGCTGAAAATTTGATATACGTGGTACAAGATAAAATGGTGATTGGGGCGTATTTGATTGTTGTGGACGATGAGATGCATACAATTTATAAGCTTGTACCGGACATATTGATAAATCGGCGGGATTAGCGTATGCACGTGGATGTACTACAGACTTTGATGATGAAGATGTTGTATTATTAAATAAACTTGCTTCATTTATTTTTGTTTGTTTTCTATTATACTCTAAATATTCATCATCAATTAATTCAATATCTCCCCATAACAATGATTTATTTACTGTTGATTCTAATCCATTATTATTCGTCGATGATGACATAGATTTTTGATCAAAATATTTTGAATTATTAATAAGTATTTCCAATAATAAACCGTCTGGTGTTTCACGATTTATTAAATTTTTTTCACGTAATATTAGTTCATGTTTAATATTAAATACATCAATATTTGTTTGAAATGTTGTTTTACCTAACTTTCGCCATTGATCTCGTTTAACTAATATAACATTTCTACACGATTGAAAGATAGGTGATTCCATTAGATTATATTCATATTTTTTTGATTTTAAATAACGTTCAATACTTAGAAGAAAACTACGCAAGGTATCTGGTTCATAATCGGTACCATCAAATTTTTTTGTATTTTCAAAATAATGTTGCAAATATTTACATAATATATCCGGTTTAATTTTATGTAATTGACATTTTTCATTAAACTTTTCGTCAATATACATGACAAAACGTTTTACGTCGTGTTTAGTCTTTCGTATGGTATTGTGTGAGTTGGTGTCCGATGATATTTGAAAATCATAACCTAACTCGTTCGATTGATCATAATTATTAGTTGGTATTGTTGATTTATTATTATCATTATCATTATCACTCGATAAATCATCACCGGCAAGCAGACGTGGAAATTGGTTACGTTTTGGACGTTTTGCTACAGCATCACTGTTAGAAGATAATGGAATTTTATTTGTTGTAGATGGAATGTGACGACTATAAACTAAAAATATATCAAAAAATTTCCATCAAATAATTGATGAAGAATAGCAGAGTGATTCTTTTTTAACGTTTAATAAACAGAGATTAAGTCGTTATTAAACCAAGTTCTATACTATTCTGAAAGAACCTCGGTACTCATAAATGCCGGATGTGGTCCAGTTTTTTACCCATTCGTCTTCACTTACATTCTCTGAGAAATGAAACTCGTCTGATAATTTTCTCTCATAGACTGATGCTCGCTAGGACAAATACTCATCAGACATATGCTCATCGGATACAACTAGGGATGCATCAAATCCAAACCCAAATTTATCAGACTATTACATTAATTTTAACTGTATTAAAAGTTAGAGTTAGGTAAATTTCTAATAGCAACACTAAAATAATTTATAAAATGTTTTCAAACTAATCTCTTATATATTTTTTTTTGAACTATTTTTGTATATTTGATGACAAATTCAAACATAATATATTTCATGCAGAATAGCGGCAATAGAAATGAATTTATATTGAAAAGAATTCTGAAGTAGTTTTGTTTTTTGATATTTATCTGATATAAATTGAAACCTTGTGTCTGTTGGAATTGTAGTGATGTTCTTCATGTAAATTGTCAATAGGATAGTAGTTAGAAATGGTAACAGATATTTTGAAAATAAAATGATGATATCTTACTTTAAAATTCTTTTCATTATTGCCGCTATTCTCCGCATGAAATATATTGTGTTTGAATTTGGTCATCAGATGTTCAAAAATAGTTCAAAAATATAAGAGATAGTAATTAGTTGGAAAACATTTTATAAACTATTCCCATGATCCTATTTAAAGTGTCAGATGAATAAATGTTCACGAATAGCTGTTGAAACATTGTTAATGAACCCAATATTATCTTAATTTTATGGAAATAGTTCTAGTACCAAAAATTACTGAGACTAACGATTACTGAAATAGATTCACAGTCTAGAGAGATTATAATTAATAAACTCGAACTTAAAAGTGGCTGTCTAGAGTGACGAACATTTTATAATCTAACATTAACGAGTTTTAAAGAGTTCATCTGATATAATGTTTTAGTATTGCATATAAAGAAGAAACAGTTTGTTGTTCAACGCTTGTACTAGAATCTTGTTATGATTTCAGTTTATGCAATGAACTTGATGTTTTTCTTCCTACAGTGAATAAACGGCTGCTAATCAGATCAAAAGATGTTTGTAATATAATTACCTGGACTCGGTATAGGTTCTGGCTTCATATGATTATCGACATCATCATCTTCTACTTCTATCTGTTTGAAAATTTTTGTTGCGTTATTCATCTGTGTTGAATTTTCGATTTGTCGTAACGCCAATACATCAGCTATTGTCATTTCACTGTTGTTAGGTAAAGATTCGTCCTCATCTGATGTTTCATCATCATTCGAAGTTTCGGTATTTTCCAATTTAATATTTTTACGTTTTTTTCTTAATTGTTGTTGAGCTTCAATTTGATCATTATCTGCAATCGAAGATGTTTCAAATTCCATGGATTTTTCACGACGAAATACAGTTTTCAAATTGAAATTGTTATTATCGTTTGTTGAAATGATGTGATTTTTTGCCATACCACAACAATTTTTTTTCGTTATTCTGAAATACAAAAAAAAAGAAAGTGAATGACTGCTGTTGTTGTATATGGTATGGTATGAAGAGAGAGAATCGCTCGTTGTTGGTATGTATGAAAAAATTTTAACTTTAATGGATTGGATTTTGAAAAAAACTTCTCGTTTAACTTCTGTTATAACAATTTACACACATACACGCACATACGCATACTTTATTCAATATACATGTAATAGTAATATTAGAGGAATCTTGTGGTCTATATAAAAGAGTAAGGTATAATGTTTATTTTTTATTAAAAAATGCAACAGGTACAAATGCAATTCTTAACGACAAACACAATATTACTTTTAAAAGAAGTGTTATAGATTTTGTGATGTTTTCTTTTCGTTTGATAGAGACAGATGAGAAAAAAAGTACAAAACTGATTCAATAGAAGGAGAAATGTACACAATATTTATATGTGCAATAAATTTTTCCCAAAGACAAAAACGATGTTTTTTTTTACATCATTTTCTTATCACTAAAAAATTGTCAATAGTTATAGTTTATCCAAATTGGTATCGAAGTATCGACAACTCGCCATTTCATTAAACTAGAAAATTATAGATGAACATTTCTACTCTTACTGAGTTAGGGTATAGAGTTTGATTATAGATAGGTGACAATTTGATGAAGAAAAAATATTGAACTGATATTTTTGCAGGTCTTAGCAGTTAGGATGGGTACCTACGTAGTACGAATCTTTTGTCGTACATAAAAATATAGCAGCGTATTAAGAGAGTGAGAAAAACTTCAATATTTAATATTATAGACGATCATTTCAAGTTACATTACTTCAGAAATAATCTTTATAAAAATATCGTTACGTTTTACCCTACCACAAACGCTTGAGAAAAACTTACTTTAAGCTGTTATCCTACTTCGATGTAAAAAGACGACATATTATCTTGTTGTCATTAAACTCAGTAAAAAAAAAAAAAAAAAATTGTAAAAAAAAATCTTGTTGTCTGTCAATAACGACGGGAGTGTGCGTGTATGTGCCATCACATAAAAAATATCGTCACCGACTATACATCTCGGAAATACATTGATTTTGAAAATAGTAGTAGGCATATAACTCTCTTTCTTTTTCATATCACTGTGTGTGTGTATGTGTGTATTAAACAAAAAAATCTAAGCACACACAAGAAAAAGAAGCATATTTCATATAGTCGACTGTAAAAAAAACTGAAAAAAAAAACTCATTCTTCTTTGTGTTTTCCCTCTTTTTTTTCTCATTTATATATATATATATATGGTGTTTTTTTACTCTTCATGTATATATAGAGAAAGTTCATTTCAAGATATAGATAATGTATAGTATAAGTGAAATAAGTGTATAGATATATATTGTTACAATCCAGAGCGGGATGAAGATGATAGTTAAAAAACATAGAACTCCCACAAAAAAAGAAATTTATATATATCTATATATATATATATTAGAGTGAACAGTTCTTTTAGTCGTTCACTCTTTTTTTCGTATCTATAATATTAATAGTAGAACTGTTGCTACATTTTTACTTCGAATTAATGATTATTATAGGATAGTTTCTTCTTTTATCCTAGTTTGAAAAAAAAAAACGGTAGAAGAAAAAAAAACCATATAATAACAGTATACAATTAATTATGCGACAAAGCATATTTAAGAGAGCATATGGCCAATAATATCGAGCTTTAATGTATTTGTATTAAAATATTCACATGTCGAAATTACCATAGAGGATATTTGTTAACTTAATCAACTGTGTCTCGAAAATTTAATAAAAAAAGTATTTTTTATTATATGATATAGATCAAGTGTAGTCAGTGAAACATTGTCTCAATGATAATTTTCATATTTTTTGGAAAACGACTAATCTTTGTTAGTCATATCGTCTCGGACATAAAATACAGGCGATTGATATTTTGAAAGTGGTCTTCGCTCAGTTATTAACTAGAAAGGTGAAGGATTATTTTCTAAAATCAGGTGGTTAGTTTTAGATTCAACTCTCCAAAGAAGTGTATATTATGTGTCAACTGATTTTTTTCAGGGTTTCTTTTCATTCTGCGTTTTTTTTTTCTTTCTATATATATATATATCGATTACGACGGATTTATACGTTGAAACCTCGGAAACAGGGAGAAAAAAGTGAAGTCTATATAGTATACACATTAGAGTTCTTTTTTTATATCTCTCTCTGCATATATATATATATATATATATAGCTCTATATAGATACGAACTAGACAAAATGTATACCACTGAACAACAGCAGAAAACTTTTACTCTAAGAGAAAAAAAGGAAACGCACACATCTATAACAATCTATATCTATGCGGAAATCGTGATTGCAGCAGACAAGAACAAAAAAGACTTCGATATGCAGAGAGATCATCTGAACTATTGTCTCCAACTTTAAAACAAAGTACTACGCAATTTGACGAATTTTAAATACTAATAGGAGGCGAGGATACAGTATTCTAAAATAATAAAGGCTGATTTAATTACTTCGATCAATTTTTTGATGTAATAGATTTGAATAATTTCCGAAAATGACAGCATACGAGCTCTGTAGAAATATAAGCAATATTATTATGTGAGAGCGAATAGATACAAAAGATATTCGTTACACAAAGTGATGATAATAGCAAAATAAATGGAATTTCAAATTCAATCAGAATCTATTAATATTTAACATCCAGTTAGAATAGGATATGAACACATATCCATTTGTACTTGGTAACTGTTAAGATAGAATTTTACAACACATGAACGTAACTTCATCGTTTATCCTGGCAATAATAGCAAACAGCGGAGATTATATTAATACCAAATACCAGCCTTCCACTTTATTTGAAACTATAAGATCCATTGACAGTGTGTAAAAATATTGATAAAATAAAAGTGAACAATGTTCACCGTTTTGTATGTATTTTGAGACTTCAGCAAACTTTTTTGATTTTATTCACTATAAATAAAAAGATCTTTAATATCTATTATCACAAATAGTCAAAGAATCTTATGTAGTAGCAAATGCTGGATTGGTATGTATCGACATTCAAAAATCTCACATAAAATGAAAAATTGTATATGCAATAATCAAATAGTTTCAGTTATTTTATCTACTTACATATATATTAGATGTGACGGATGGAACAGGTTGAATTGCCGGCTGTTATGATGGCTTTTCTGCCTAAGTTAAGCTGCTCAAAAAATTTTGTTGTCTGTCACTGGAGACGGTACTAAAAAGTAGATTAAATTCTAAGTTTCCCTGTCGGAAAATGAAATTTTTGAATAGTGTGTTATGATAATGAATATGATATAGCCTTTTGTCAACTATTTTTGCCTTGTTTCGCCTATGACAGCATTATAACGGGTAGCCCATAAAGAATTGCGCTGTTAGTATTTTCAAAATTTCACCTCCTCGTTACACTTGATTGAGCTAGTTTGTAGTACCAAAAGATTCTCCGTTGAATTCTCTACAAAAAATGTATTGACTGTTTTATTGCAAAATGCCATGAGAAAATATGAGAAGTATAAAAATGTAGAAAAAATAAACGTAGTTACAGTATTTTTTAGTATTATCTGCTAAAAGTTTGTGAGAAAGGAAAGCTGAAGTAGCCATTGTGTATGCCTCGAAAAGCTCTATTTTTCATCTATAATTTAAATAATTTTCAATTAAAATTGAGGGCGCAAGAATTTCATTATTTTTTGCCAATTTTTCAAAAAATGACGATTTTTTACCAATAATTTGAGCCTTCCAATAAAACACATAAAGCTTAGTCAAACTTGATCCATTCAGACTGATTCTTTTAATTTTGAAAACAAATGATTAGTCGTTATGATCGGATCCCTAAGATTTGGAAAATGAATTTGATTTATTCCACCGCGCAAAAGAAAAAAGGTAACCACTTTTGTTATTTTCACTTGATTGCTGAGATTTTAATCTTTGCGTCGGATATTTAGATTCAAACGCTTTTCGCTCTACACGATAAGAAAGAGCGTATTTGAAACCACCCAAAAATATACTGAAACCGTACTTTAATGCTTGTGAAACCATTCAAAAAACTTTCGCTGTCGTTGAGAAAATACGTTTATTTTTTCTACATTTTTGTACTTCTCACATTTTCTCATGGCATTTTGCATCTTCGGATTTTACAATAAAACAGTCAATACATTTTTTGTAGAGAATTCAACGGGGAATCTTTTCGTAATACAAACTAGCTCAATCAAGTATAAGGAGGAGCCGAAATTTTGAAAATACTAACAGCACAATTCTTTATGGGCCACCTGTTGGTTTCAGGATTTGTTATCAAAACAACTTAATCTTTGAAAAGGAAAGTATCTTGTAGAGTTTAAAGTTGTGCATCTGTTGGTATACAAAAAAACAAAGTTTTTGCAGTCATACTTTCAAGAAGAGCCTCGACAAAAATGCCATCTTATTAATCTGATGTGCCTTTTCTCACATTTCGGCTTTTACAAACAAGTATGTACGAAACAAATACATAACTACGTACACAAACAAATTCTCTACATTTTATCACTAGAACCAAATTTTCGAACAAAATATATCAATTAAAAAAGTAGTTTGAAAATTCTCTGACTTTAGTTCAACGTTTCGGATGTCAAGTCGATGTCTGTTTGCTTGAAAATTATTAGAAATATAATACTTGTAAAAAAAATGTCACACATATTTATAAATCGGTAGGTTAAGATTTTCTATAAAACTTCAAAATAAACTTTTCCCGAAAAAATCTCAATAAACTTAAATTTCAAGCATATATTGTACCACCCACGCCCTGATCCAACGAGAAAGGAGATAAACTTATCGCCAGAAGTGATTGAACGTTGAGGTGCACTATTCTGACTTAAATATATTCATCCAAAGTCTTTGCCATATCGACATTCATCGTCGATCGATTAAAAAAGATTGTACATAGAAATCGTGTTTTTCTGTCTTCTCAGGATAATACATATTCTCAATATATGCTTGAAATTCAAGCTTTACTGATTTTTCTTTCGATATGATTTCATGTCGATTCTTTTTTTTGACTTTTGTTACAGAAATATATCAACATATCGATGTATTAATATATTGTAAAAGAAGAAAATCAATATATTATATTGTATTCAAAACTCAAGCAAATAAAATTTTATATTCGACATTCTAATGCAAATGCTTATCTTGAAAGGAACACAAGAATAAAATCTACACAAAATTTCCTACCTTTTGCATATCACAACGAAACTTTTTGAGCAGCTTTAACTCAAAAAAATAAAAAAGCATCATAGCAGCCGGCAATTTGACCTGTTACATCCGTTATTTACGAAAAATGATTCAACGTTTATTATTATCAGGTAAAACTACAGACCTGGTCAAATAGATGGCAGAATCATCTTTTAATTCAAATAGAAAAAAAAGTGAATGGAACACGAACAATATAACGAACGAAGAAAAAAGAAGATACAGACATAATGATGATTGAAGAAGAAAAAGGAACATTTTATTTTCGATTTAAAGATGAATGAAATAACATTGATATACCGTTTTATTGTATATATATATATATATATATATACATATATATCTATTTATCTATCTTGTGTATACAAAAGGCGTACATAGGCCGAACAACAATACAATGACATTTAACTCTGTTACAATAACGATTTGTATATTAACACGTTCTTGTTAAATGAAAAAAATGAGAAGAGTTATGTACTACAACTAAAACGACTACTCACTAGTATCTCTTCTTGTGTATATATTTACTTCATTATACGTTTTTCAGAGTTTCTAGGTGACCTCGAATACGGTGTTCTCTTTTTTTAATATTTGTGTATGTGCTGTATGTATCATCCGTACAACATATTGAAACCTTGCTTTTTTATTATTATTTTTGTGTTATTATACTGCATAGATATTTTTCTTTTTCTATCAATATATATATATATATATATATATATATATTTATTTACTACGATTATAAAAATCATTGTAGATTTGATATGCAAGTCTTTGGCCATATAAGAAAGAGCCTGATGGCTAATCAAGCTAAAAATTAATCAGAAAAAAAATCAATCGCTCTTATGAGATACTAACAAAGAGAGAATATTACACTTTATATATATATTTATATCAATATACATATAAAATTCGCTCTTCTTTTAGAGATAACTAGGCAAACTAATTTTTAAATTTTATTATATTTACTTTGATGATAATTATAAAATGAAAAAGTTTACATAAAAATCGGTGTGCGGTTTGCTGTTGTGACTATTCATTTTCTCTTTGAATATATATTTTTTACTTTTTTTGCTTGTGTTCTATGATTTGTATCAATATAATAATAACTCGATAACTATATAAATACATATGATTGATATATATATAATAGTCGTTCTCCTTTTGCATATATATACATTGATATAATCGAGTCGTGAAGCAGAGTTATACTACTCAAGTGGAAATGAAACATATTTTCTCTCTATTTTGTTTTCTGGTTTTAATAACTATAAAAAAAAAAGAAAAGAATACAGGAACCACTGAATTTATTAGTCTAATTTTTGTTTTTAGATTTATTTTTTTGAAGAAATGAAGCAAATGCGTAAATATCGATGTTTAATGATGGTACAATATCATATAAAAAAAAATGTATATTTTCAATTTTTAGCATATGGAGACATACTTACATTGATATCAAACGAATGATTTTCGTTATGTTTCCATCTGTTCTATCCATAGAGATATGCTAAAACTATTTTGAGGTATGAAAACAGAAGAAAAAATATAGGGTTTAGAATAACAATGTTAAAATAAGTACAAATAAATATCAACAAGCGATGCTACATTTTATTGACTCGTTCACAGAAAACTAATTTTTGAAAGAATTATTTTGTTACGCACAATGGACAAGGACAATCTGAATATCATCTCTTGTGTCACCGTAATACTGCTCTTTAAAAATAAAAATCGATAAATATATTTTCAACGTTTATGTTATTAATAGATGTGTATCAACACAAATTATCAACCAGGTTTTGAAAAGTGAAAAAAATGATGAATGATCAACAAATAAATAAATTGTTCATCCTCAATAATGAATACAAGCATAAATTTGAGGGGGAAGAAGTAGCGTAAAATTTGTCTAGATGATTTTCAAAGTTTTTAAAACAGTATTTCTTCAGTAATGAGAGTGTTCCTATTCCATCTTTCTCTACATAATTATCTTAGATTTGGATCAAAGTGATTTCATGGAGTACAAAAGATATTAGAGATAATAATCTAGAGTATTTTCATATTATTGTTTTACAGTTGCTCAAGAACTAAAATAATTTAGATCATAATGCTCATAAAATGTCGATAATGATAACAGATTTTATTCGAGTTAAGATTTGTTTAAATAGTAATTCTTAGTATATGTATCTTTACAGTTTTTATTATGCTCAAAAAAGCAGCAAACGTGCAAAAAAAGGAGCACAATAAAATTTAATTTACAGCAGTTAGATGTATACACAACGGTGACTAACAATACAAAAAAAAAAGAACATAACACATTATATCATTCTTATTACACCGCGATATTACAAAAATATTTTTAATTTGAAAAAAAACATGCTGTTTTTCAAACAAGCAACATTCAATGAAGTCAGTACAAAATAGACCACTGTTTTAATTACAGAAGTAAAATAGATACTTTTATAGAAAAATCAAGCATAACAATAAAGTTTAAAAGTCATTATATTAAACGACTACTGGCACAATATTGAGCAAAATTTTTACAAAACAAAAATAAATCAGAAAAATCAGAAAAATTTAAATAACAATCCACATATATGAGTCTAATTTTCACTCTTTGAACAACAATTACACAGAAAAAATAAATTTAACTATATTTTTCTTAGTAAAGGTCAGTTCTATAGAAGAAAACAATATTAATAAGTAAACTATATTTCATATTTGACAAGTATTTTGTATATGTGATAAGAATAGAAAAATACTATTCAACAAAACTATTTGTTCTAGAAGGTCCAACTATTGTTATATTGGCATCACAATATTATTTTCGTCTACTAAAAAGTAACATGTCAGAAAAATGTGACTAATATTAGTGTTCAGATTTGACGAATTACCTTTATCATTTCCACTATCGCGATTATTTCGAAATTTAACGTATGCTGACGGTTGTCCACAACATGTGTTAATACTATAATCTTTTAAACATTCCAATATACAATCGTTATTGCCTATACTGGGTGCTACTTCTTCCTACAATGAATATAAAACAACAAGATAAAATATAATTTTAAGTGACGAAAAATATGTTTATTTACATTGATAAATTCTGGCTGAATCGTTGTTGAATGAATACCTTCATTATGAAAAAAGTCTTTCACTTGTTCAGCAATAGTCATGTACTCATGAAGATTATGACATCGAATGTGTGCTGATGCTATAATTTTTGAACCAGACAATTGCCACACCTAGAAAGAAGAGTTACTTCTTTTTGTTAGACTATAAAAGCGTTTAGAATATGTGCATTCCGTACGTGAAATTCATGAACAGATAAGACGCCTTGAATCTAAAATAAGTATAAAATTGAACAAACAAATTTATAAAATTAATTTTATCATAAATACTGAGAAAGAAAAAATAAACATAATATATAGTTAAATAATCATCGGTTGTTTACATACCTGTTCAAGAAGCCGCCTCTGTAAATCAGCTACTTCAATATGAGTAGGAACGGTTTGTAATAGAATTAATGCTGATTCACGCACTTCAAAAAAGAAACAAATTTAATTCACAGGAAAATCAAATCAATATGTTGCTTACATAATGGAATTGTGAATATCACAATCAACAAAATCATGAATAAAGATGCACTGGGATCAATAAAATTTACCCATGATGTATCAGGCCATTTTTTCATACAAAGACCGCTAATAATAACAATTACAGATCCAATAGCATCATTCAAAACGTGTAAAAAAGCGCCACGAATATTTAATTGTCCACCAGACACTAAAAATGAGATTTTAATTCGTGAAGATTTAAAGTACAGCTATTAAATTTACTTACTGCCTTGTTTTTTCTTTTTCTTTTCAGATTTATCATCAACAATAACTGAATTCAATGGAATAGTGACACTACTTATTTTAGCAGCATTAACATGAGAATGACCACGTTTTAGATCATCTAGGGGTTGTGATATTGGTGATGTAACTGCTGTGTTGTTCAGTGCCTGGTGAACTCCTTCATCATTACACAAATGATCACCGTCCTCAATAAGCGCTTCATTCTTTTTGTTATCTCCACCGTGAGAATGACCATGTGCCATATCGCCTAGTTTAAATAAAAAATCCAAATCCAAAATAGTTTTGTTCTGGAAAGTGTTTTTCTGCTGATTTTAAATTACTTACCACCGAGTATGAGTAATCCCAAAACATTGATAGCCAAACCAATGATGCCAACGACAATATAAAAAGTTAGTCTAGTTCTTTCTACTGGCTCTGGTTGTACAAGACGTTTGATGGCTTGTACCAATATAGAAAAACATAATGACATCAACAATATACAATTTACCATAGCGCCTAAATAAAAAGAATTTGATCAAATGTATGCTTCCAGGTTTGATAATATCATGAAAGAACTTACCCAATTCTTGTGCTCTAGCCGATCCAAATGTGTTTTTAGATGATTTACGCTTCGAAATCTACGTTAAAAAGATTATAGTAATAATAATTCACGTCAAAGGCAATATGAACTTACCCAAAGTGAAACCATGGCTATTACGAGAGCACCACTATCAGATAACATGTGAATTGCCTAAAATATTTTGGTAATAATAACCACCAAATGAGTAGTCATTCAAATTCAACTTACGTCAGCGACAATTGCCACCGAATGAACATAATAACCGGCAATTAATTCAACAAAGAAGAAACCGATTGTAAGTAGAAGAACTGTTGCGAGTCTGCAACTTTTCGTCGGTCGTAGCCAACTTTTATGCGAATGCTTGTGAGAGTGAATATGATTGTGACTTGCCATCTAAAAATAAACGTCAAAAGAATTAAACTTATTTGAAAGTATAAAAATGGACACAGATCGATGAACAATAGAATGAACTGTACGATAAAAACGAAAGATCGATTTTATCAAAAACAAAACAAAAATGAACAGAAAGCATACTTTGTTAGTATGCTTAGTTTTATTTCACACGCATTACATAACTACATTGAACAGTAATCTTTAACATCAACCTAATGATAATTTTATCTTCATAACAACTGATTATTTAAATAAAAAATCTTAATAGCACAGTGCTAATTAGGATCAAAACTGTGACGTTTCTTTGAAAGCTCATCGTTGTACCGAAAAGTAACTAACTCGCCACATTATAAGTTAAAATGAAATAATGTTTATTTTGTTATGCCAATTCTATAGAATTTGAATCGATAACAAATAAAGTTTATACAGTCAAGAGAAAAAACAAAACCATCAGTAAAGTGTCTAAATTTTGAATATAGATGGATATCAATGGAAATTATATCAAGCGTAAAGAATATATAAAGAAAAAGTAAAAATAAACAATGCTAAAACAGATTCTATACTAAATAAAAAAGACTGTACAGAAGGAAGGTATCATGGTTTTGGATAAAAATGAATTGCTTGCTTTTACTTCTCAAAATAGCAACGAAGATTTTCAAGATAAAGTCGGTTTTTTGTGAAAGCAGAATGAAAAATAAATGAAGATTCTTTTCATAGTAGATTTTGATGATGAATGGACAGAAAATAAAATTTTACCATAATCCACTTATCATTAGAAAACGTTCAAAACATTTAGGTTCTGTTTTTTTGTCACCTTATCGAACAAGATACGACCACGCTCAAATTTTGGTACAACTTCTACAGTTACTTATCAAATTTGGCAGACAACGCTGTTCAAAAATATTTCTTTCGATTTTCCGTTCAATAGTGTAGTGATACAGTGTAGATCATTAAGTTATACAACACATAATGAACGCTCAGCCATTTTGCACAGGTTTTTACATGATCGTAAATTAGAAGTAAATTACTTTTAGCGATCAGCTGTTCCATAAAACTGGCCCGTAATCTAGGGAAGAAAAAGCAGTACTAATATCGGAAAACACCGTTGACATACCGATCACATATCCACCACACACCAGTCACACACGAGAAGTATGGAGTTCTGATCTTTGCAGATTAATGAATTGCTAAGAATCAAGCTTCCCCCTTATTTCACGTTCATAAAATGGGTTACTTACCGTTCAGATTGGTTTAGTACTAATACCTTTTTGTGTCAGTAGTAAGTGATTAACACGGGAATTGTTTCCAAATGCTCTAGTCATGCACTGATTGCGATTCGAACCGATGAAATCAGAACAGGAAGCGAATAAGAAATATGTGTAAAAGTCGAAAATCCAGCACAAGTTTGGTATTTTTATTCATTTTCTAAAGTTTTTCACTACTAAGCTGTTGTTTTTTTCTTAAAAATACATAAGTTGATCTTTTAAAAAGAAAGTTGAACGTCTAAGAATTAAAATTTTTTGTTAACTTGTCGACTTTAATGCATGTTCTCCGCTTTCACTTCTCATCGACTCCGGATAAATTACATGTCTAAAATGATCCACCCGCATTCGGTTTATATTTTTGTGATGGTTACAGTCTGCAGAGGTAAAAATAAACATCAACATGCGAGCGTATGTCACTTCTTTCCCAAGTTAGCAGTGTCCTTTTATTCAAGTACACGGTTTACTGCCAATGGATTTACTTTCCGTTGGTTACTTTCTATTTTAATTAGATTTTTTCAAAAAATGTAATCAAGGGAAAGTAAATCCGCTGGCAGTAAATTGTGTAAGCCCTTTTGTTTCATATTTTAGCCATTTTTTCCTTCAAACCACCGAATCATCTATTAAAAACCTGAGTTCCGACAGGTTAACTTTTTTCTTTCTTTCATCGACTCTAACTATAAGCAAAATATTAAAGTAAAAGGAGAAGAATATTATACCTGGAAAACATTATTTTTTGGGATGTTCTCGGTTATATTGTTTGAGAATAAAATCTATTTTCTCTCGGTCACACCCAAATACTTTCCTCACTAAATTTGTTTGTGCTTGTATCAAAAAACTTAAATTTCTGATGAAACAAAGAAAAAGCTGGTAAAGTGGAGGATCTGAATCTCCATATTTTTGAATACTACTCAACATACCGAACATACCCGTTACATATCGCATAACAGAATAACATACCATACATACCGAAATTGCTATTTCCCTCTTGTCCGTAGTGGTAAGAAGGCTTTCTTTCATATTTTATCAGTTTTACTTTCGTGCAGTGGATAATCATCCTGAACGCTAAAAACGTTAAATGAGACAATTTACCCGCTGCAGATTTTTCAAAATAACCTTTCCTTTAGTTTTTAACTATAGCAAAGTCGTCAAATGAAAGATAAACGAAAATCTTGTTGGTTAATTTTGCAACAACTAATCTTTGAATAACACAATCGAAAGCTTTCTTCGAAAACGTCTACAAGAAGTAGTAACAAGTAAAAATTTACAAAAGGTGAAAATAATGCACCAAGGTCGTTAAACATTTAATCTGAGCTGACGAAAGTAATGTACATTAGTCACACAGACAGTCTCTGACGTGACATCGATATCCTCATAGTTCAACACGTCCAGACAGCTCCGCTCACATCACATGATACAAACGTCCAATGAATTTGGCTATGCACGTCGTGTAGAGCATCAACAGTTGCCTAAAATCCATCACTTGTTCTTCGTTTAAATCACGCTAGAAGTTGGCACTCGCAGCCAGAAAATTTGACAGTTTTTCCGAATCACAGAATCGTGAACCATGCACTTACCACAAAGTTTGAAACTTTTTAGTGATGCTAGCCGGGAAGAGCTTAGTAAATTATGTATGTCTACGTACAAACTAACTATTAGTTCATAACTTTTTATAAAACGTTTGATTGGTAAAGTATACCACTTAAAAAATCTATTTTGCAACAAGTATATCTTATTAAAAATAAAATCATATTTGTATTTGTAATCAGTATTGCTTCCTCTCTTGAAAAGATTACTTAGAAAAAATTTGAGTCATCCATTAGTGAGGACTGGGATATATATTAAAATTTTCAACCCAGTAACAATAATGAAGAACTCGCTGAGTAAATCAGGTTTTTTAGCTCTGTAAAGTAGCGAGTAAGGGAACAGATCGTCATATTGATAGTTTTTCGAAAGTGATCTTCAGTATGGGCATCTTTCCAGGAAAAAATGTGGAAGATAAAACCTGGAATTTTAAATCGGAAAACATACAACCTTCGCAACGCTGTCTAACTATCAGGAAGACGGCGCTTTAAAATTGTCGGAATATTTTACTAAGCTAACTTAAAAGCATATTCAGATTTAGTATTTTAGGGAGCGGCTAGGGGTCTTTACATACTTCTGGTACTACTATAATGCATATAATCAAATCCTTTTGATTCTCAGCCGTATATGAAGTAGTTAGACCTGTGCGGAAGTATTCCACTAATAATACATCAAAAAATGAAAGTTGACGACACTCTCGTCAAAAACCTCATAATTTTTATATTTCACAGATATAAGGGATAGATGTAAGGGGACGCCAAAAGGAAACATTTTTCGAGCTAGAAAAAAGCTCCTCAGCTGAAAAAATTGGTCAAAAATTTAATGGAAAAGCTTCTCTCATCTGGCAGCAGACATTCTTCTCCATAGTAATCGTATTTTTTTCTGCACTAGAAAACAAAAATCGAAACTACAGAAAGGTCAACAACAAACATATTAGATTCAATAAATTTTTGAAACAAAGTATTAGTTTCTACATTACTACAGAGCCAGAACAACAAAACAAGCGAAACAAGTTCTTGATAGAGAAAATCTGAGAATTTCTTTTGCACCATAACTGAAATGTAGCACTGTTAACAAGCTTTCTGATGACAAAATGTACGTTTGATTTTTGAAAACAAGCCTGTTTTACACTTTGAAAAAGATAGTAAATTGCAAAGAAAAAATATACAATTTAAAAGTCAAATTTATAGTTTGTTATTGCAAAGAATTTCTGCTAATAATCGGAGAAAAGATGAAGTTGAGGAGACGAGGATTGAACGACAAACAAACAATTGTATATAGCTTAGATGTGGCTTGTTTTGTTTTGTGAACTCAAGTACTTTCGCAGAATAATCGCAACCTATATATACGAGTGAGAGTAAGGATGTGATTAATCTATCGAACTATCTAAGTCGTTTTATTATTATCAATATTCAGATGGTGAAAATCATGTTTTTCTGGTTGTTATACAAAAGTTGCAATATACTTTTCCTTCTTTTGAAGTTGCGATTATCTATACAAAATAAATCTCATAAAAACAGACCTTTGAAATCTTTATGTTAACTGCAATATGAGTTTGTCAGAATGTGTACACGTTATACAATCTGACGAAAAACGGAATAAACCGGTACAACTGATAACTGAAGCCTCATTAGATATACTAACCATTAAAAATAAAACTACATAAAAAAATTCTCTTTTTTGATCTAT